GTGGATATACTGTGTAGCGGTAAAATCTGGGCTTTTAGTGTGACCATCACCTGAGTAGTGTACGTTGTACCCATTAAGCAATTTCTCATCCCTCACTCCCCTGCAACCCTCCCACCTTTCTCAATCTTCAGGGACTATTATTCCACACTCCGTGTCAGGTGTACACTCTATTTAGCTCCTACTTACAAGTGAGTCCATATGGTGGTTAGTTTTCTGATTCTGAGTTGTTTCACTTAAGATAATGGCCTACAGTTCCAACCATGTTGCTGCAAAAGCCATGATTTTTATGTATTATGGGTGTTTATTTGTTACTGCTTTGTTTAGGATTTTTAAATATTTATCTTCATGAGTTAAATGGGCCTTTAATTTTCCTTTCTCATATGGTCCTTGCTTGATTTGTGCATCAGGATTATACTGGTCCCATACAAATAAGATGGCTAATAATCTTTTCTTTCTACTCTTTGAAATACTTTATAAAAGCTTCCGATCATCTGTTTCTTGAAAGTTGGGTAGGACTTGTCAATAAAACTGTCTAGGCCTGGTGTTTACTTTCTGTGAATATTTTTAGCTACAATTTCTTTAAAATACTTATCTTTAGTTATATACCCTTTTCCATTTATACAATTATCTATTTGCATTTTCTCTTTTTATTATTGATAAATCTATTCTGAGATTTGCCTTTTCAAATGTTTTCTTTTTGAGTTTCTTAATTTCTGTTTTAATTTTTAGTATTTATTTCTCTTAGATTTTTTTCTTCCTAATTTCTTTGTTGGACACATAATTTCTAATGGATTATTTGTACTACTAAAATTTTAGTCCCCTGAAGTTCATGTAGTTGGGTGAGTCCTGAAGGAGTCCAAGTTTTGACCCAGAAAGGATCAGTGCTGAAGACATGATCCCTCCCTTGCTACTGCCAGCCCCTTTGCCAGAGGACCTGCCATGGGTGGTTGTCTGAAGGGCAGTTTTCTCCGGGGAATAGTTTCAGAACAGGTGCTCAGTGTTCAAATGTGCTCTTGGCTTAATTATTCATATTTTTCTTTCTTTTACTTGTATTCGCTAGATCAGAAACTGTTAAGGTGTGGAACTGTTTGGTCTGAGAGAGACTGTAACCCCCTATGCTTCAGGTTAGGAACCTTGGTGGCAATGTCCAAGGTGACAAACAGTTTAGGAATGGAGTGGATCCAGACCATCATACTTTATAGCCTGTGAGCTTTTCACAGAGCCAAAGACCTCCTCTACACAGAAGAGTATTCATTTTATAGAGTGGCAAGTTCACCCGCATGACCCTGTTCTAATGTGATGAACATACAAAGCTCCTTTTTGTAATTCCAGAAAACACAGTTGGGGAAAGTAAAAACTGTGTGACTTGATTTTGTTTTGTTTTTCTTACCAGCATTTATTCAATATTTGTCTATGCCTATTGGGGGCCAAGGATTTATCCTGTAGTGTTTTAACATGGACTTAAGGCTCACTCTGAATATTTATCTTTCTACGTTTTGACTTCTGAATAGAATGGCTTGCAGAAAGGAAATAATGAAGACATCAGGGGTTAAATAAGCGAACAACCATTTATATTTAACATGGTGGGAAAGACCCAGTATAATTTCTTGCAGTAAAAGTGATAATCTTGTTTTTGAAGTAAAATAAAATCAGTACTTACCAATGATGTATCCTGCACACCTTATTTTAAAGAAAGAAATATTAATCTTAATTTTGCTGAAGACTTTTGTTTCCCTTAGGGGCTCTTAATACTTTTTTTTCAGAGATATGACTTGGATTACGAATTGGTTTGTATGGAGCAGAAGTCTCTCTGAGACTCCTGGTGCTTAATAGCCCGGGAGGTGTTGTACAAGTTCTAAACATTCTGGGTTTGAAGCCAAGTCTTGGGTGGCTGTATTGCTTTTGCAGCTGTAGTTTAAATTAAAAACATTCTAGTTACAGAGATCTAGAATTTTTAAAAATTCCTTTATAGCATATAAAGAGAAGGTGTTAGCCTCAGCTTACTTGATTCAGAATGAACTGAATACCAAAAAAAAAATTCAGATTAAAAAGACACGTACCTTTGAAAGTGTTTATAATGAGAGGCAATTAATCTCACAGTTATATTAAGATATAGCTTACTATGAATTTAAATTTTATGTTGAGTTCTTTAAATAAACATCTCCTTCATTCTCCTCTCATATGTTTTCAGGGAATCAGTTGTTTTTATAATTTAATATGAAAATCCTGGTCATAACTGGTGGTAGAATAACATACAGATTGCAGGCACTTCATCTGTGTTTTGATGCAGTATAAATGAGCCCATTCTCCTTGCCTGCCAAGCATGACCTTGGAGGTTTGGTCCTACCCCTTGACTTACCATACACCACGCACCCTGTGCACACACAAAGTCACACACACGGTACCTCAAGAACATTTTACTGGGCTTCAATATTGCATAGCCTTACAACACACTAGACTTTGGATTCCACTGAAAGAATGCAAGAAAATTGTTCCACAAGATGCTAATCCAGAGAAGTTAACTTTTGAGTAAATACTAGGGGTGTTGATTTACATCTGCATATGGAAATTTCCAGATGCTGCATGCTGCTTTGGGACTATTGCAGCCTTCCCTAATCCTCGCTTCTCTGTCCAGATGTTCATCCTTCACTCAATACTGTTTTCTTCCCCTTGTGACTGCTTACAAAATTTTGACATTGGTCCTATGGACTCTTCCCAAAGCATTTCTCTCTGATAACTCCAAAAGACTGCAATAATTTATAAAGGTCATAATATAAACAGAAAAGAAGAAAATAGTGTGAAACCCTGGGTTTGAAAAGCAGAAATAAAAAGGTATGAAAACAAGTACCAAAATCTCCTAGTACTTAGAAAAAAGATGTAGAATGAAGAAACTAGCAGACACTTTGTGTTCATAACATTAAGTTTATTCTACAGGGTAACTGAGTTTTAAAGTTTTTGGCATCAGACAGATGTGGGTTCTAGTCTAACTTGTGTCTCACTTTACTAGTGTGTCCTTGCATTAGTTACTTCTCCTTAATAATCTGTTTCCTTATCTGCAAAATAAGAACAATAGTAGTAATAGTACCTGCTGTTAGAGTTGTTACCAATATCAAACAGGAGAATAAATGTAAAGCTGTTAGCACAGGGCTGGGCTTATAGTGAAAGTTCAACAAATGACAGAATTTATTATTTGTTGTTACATTAATAAAAATTGTACAGATTGTGTGACTTGGTTTTCACTTTGGGCAATCCACTTTGAGACTTAGTTTCTCTAAAATGAAAAGGTTTGTACTAACCATTACCTCCTAACAACTTTTTCTAACTCACTGATTACAACTTGAATAGAACTGATAATTTTATATACAGCCTGAAAACTTAACATTATCGAGACTTGTGAAGCACTGGAAGAGAGTCTCAAGTTGAAGAATGTCAGAAGGACAATGGCGTAGGTGAGGAAACAGGGATGGAATTTCTCATGACAAATGTCCCTTTTCTGAAGAGTCTGAATATTAGAAACTTGGAGCCTTCCTAGCATAGGGTGAGATAAACATATAGTGTTGCAAGTACATTTTTTGTAGCAATTAAGCAGGACATGGAGGTACTAGTTTATTAATGGATCAATTCATTTTTTGTTCGGTGAATAAAAGACTGAATAAATGAGCCCAACCTGCATATATATATATATATATATATATATATATATATATATATATACACACACACACACACACACACACACACAGATATATATATAAATATATCATATATACTTTTTTTACTTGCATTTTAGGTTTTGGGGTACATGTGAAGAACATGCAAGATTGTTGCATAGTTACATACATGGCAATGGTTTGCTGCCTTCCTCCCCATCATCTATATCTGGCATTTCTCCCCATGTTATCCCTCCCCAACTCCCCACACCCAGCTGTCCCTCCCCTAGTTTCCCCCCGACAGACCCCAGTGTGTGATGCTCCCCTCCCTGTGTCCATGTGTTCTCATTGTTCAACGCCTGCCTATGAGTGAGAACATGCAGCATCTGATTTTCTGTTCTTGTGTCAGTTTGCTGAGAATGATGGTTTCCAGGTTTATCCATGCCCCCACAAAGGACACAAACTCCTCGTTTGTATGGCTGCATAGTATTCCATGGTGTATATGCGCCACATTTTCCCTGTCCAGTCTATCATCGATGGGCATTTGGGTTGGTTCCAAGTCTTTGCTGTTGTAAACAGTGCTGCAATGAATATTCATGTGTATGTGTCCTTATAATAGAACAATTTATAATCCTTGGGACATTATTTTCAATACATTTAATATTTCAAGGTGGCTGAAAATGCTTTAGGCCAAAATGAAATAGGAAAATCCTTGCCTCATGCAGTTCTAGGAAGTTGGACATAAAATGGTGTAAGCTGAGCCCCTCATTCTGAGGAGCAAGATATTATATGGAATATGGAAAATCATTGCTTGTTCTGTTATATCTTCTCTTGAATTAAGGATAAAGGAAAACAGCTACCTTTTCAATTAGGGAGGAAAAGGAAAAACCATGGAATTTTAATCACATCTAAAATTATTTGGTCTTCAAAGATAAAGCACTCCTACATGTTCATGATGGCGAGATTACAAAATAGGGCTCAGGGTGTCTCCCAGCAGTGAACTCTGATTGTCTTAGCAGTGAGTAGACAGAGGATGACACGAGGGTACAGGAAAAAAAGTACTAGGAGCAGGTAGTACTGGTAACACTAAAATGCTTCTGGCTCCCTCTGCCAACTGTTGAAAATTTCATGTTTCTACTAGGTCTGGGGACCAAGAAAAATGCTTAAGACTTTGTAAATGTCGATGGATTGTTTTCTCTAGGCACTTCACAGATTAGAAGGTCAGTGAACCTCAGAAATTCCTCATCCCCTGTTGCACCCAATTTATTATTTAATTTTGCATGCTCTTGTATGTGAGTATTCCCAAATACCCACAATTTTATGTTTATATTTTTGCCTTTTCAGATTTCAAGTTGAAGATTTTTTTCGTCATTATATGAAAATGCTGCTAATTTTGTTCCTCATGATAATTTGTTTCCATGTTTCTGTGAACCAAGATTCTGGTAAGGAAAAACTGAAAAGAATTCTTAATTTTGATTACAGAAAATAGATAATACATGAGTCTGACCGATTGAAAAGTGAGGAGTTTTGTATCACTTTGTTTTGATTTTGATGGTACTGAGAGTAAGGGTGGTAGGTCAAATTCTTTGTGAGGTCACTCTGTGTTTCTTTGAAGATCATTTGTTTCTGGATCTTATTCCTTGTTAATAATAGAAAGATATGAGAGCTGTCATCTTGTCCTGCTTCAACCCCTTTTAGGTCTTCTGGGAGGTTGCATGAAAATTCTGTTAATAACATAGGCTTAGGCCTGGAAAACTTGGAATGTCTCATCCTAATTCGTTTGTGTCAAAGGGTTGTCTTGACTAAGTGTCCAGATTTGCTCCAAATTAAACTATTCAGCTGCTTATTATGAAGAAAGTGCTTTTTCCCTGGAGAGGAAGCTTCATAGTACTGTCTTTTGTCTGTTGGGAATCTCTGTTCTGTGGACTTAAGATACGGCCCACCCTTAACCACCTTACCACTTCGTAAATAATTGGTTCTTGTACCAGTCAGCTCATGTTCAGAGCAACTTACATTGGCTTTTACAGCTTCCTCGAGGACACTGACTTTGGAAGGAAGTTTTGTGAAAACTAAACTAAACTTGACTTTGCCCTTCACTGTCTTCCTTTGATGTCTCACTAGGCCTTGAGCTTCTTAAGTAGAAGCCATGTTTTTTCCTCCATTGTTTCATGGTTCAGGCATAGTGATGGACCTTATCAGAACCTGAATCCACCTTATGTGCCAGTCATCTGCATTTCCTTTCTCCACAAAAGATGTAGGACTTCATTCATGAATAGAAAGTCACTGGTGGTTACAAATCAAGCCACCCACAGCAGGGCTCCCCTGGCAGTCTTCACAGGGTTCCAGGCTTCTTTTGGAAGAAGGTGTTGACACACCCTCACTTATTTCTTCCCCTGAGATACTGCTGGCTGTATAATCATGAAAAGAATCTCAGGTTGGTTAGATTTGGGTTATTTAAAAGACAAGAAATTATTTTGTCAACTATGCCTCGATCAGATGGCTGTAAAGAGAATGAAATAACAAATAAGGATGCCAAAGCTGGTTTCCCAGCCACTAGAGAAAGGAAAAGCTTGAAGTTATTCAAATTTGATTAGAACTTACCTAGTAACCATTTTAGATAATTGGAGTCTCAGAGTGAGGTGGTACCTTAGATATTTTCTAGTTGAATCTACTTATTTTAAAGAAGAAGAAACTAAGGCCTAAGTATGTTGAATGTCTTGACAAAGCTTACAGAGTTAGCTGAAGGCAAAGTCAGGGTGTCCATTATTTGTTCAATTGCACTGTATTTTCTTAAACATACACGACATATCTACTTCCCTCTCTGCCCCAGACAAGAAATGGCTCTTATGCTGAGATAGATAGAGTTCTGAGTTCAAACCAGCAGACCACTAGTAAACAACAGTTAGTGTTTGAATCCAGTGATTTTCTATCATGTAAAAATATAGTACCAGATAACTAGTGTTGAATCTAACATTGAATGAAGCTTTAAAAGTTAAGGAAAGTATTACACTCCTATATAAAACTTATATTTTTAATGAAAACCAAAACTAGAATCCCTTTTCTAGCCAGAGATACGTTGGTGCCATCACATTTTGCACATGTACGGCTAAAATTTACCAATTATAATACAATCCTCATTCATGATATTCATCAAAAGTACTAACATATTTAATCTTGAAATAGATTGACAATTCCATATTTTTATGATTTATAGATTTTTAAAAAACAATTTTACTGTTTGGAATATAAAACGTAAATGTTTTTAAGTTAATCAGATCAGTGGTTGTGTTGCTTAAATGAGAAAGGCCATCTTTGAGATTTTACCATTAAAGTGAATTTGATACAGTTTGAGTTTCAATTAGCCTTTTTATCCTGTTGATATAAGTTGAAGTCAAATTCTAAAAGCCAAAAAAAGTACAAGAGGAAATTATCCACAAAGGTATAAAACCCATGATATTTTCTGTTTGTTTTTTGTTCCAGTCACTTGTTAATCACTACCTATTTCTAATTAACCAATTCCTTACAAAAGTTATGCTTAATTTTGTGATCAGTTCAAATGAGAGGTTGCATAAAAGAATCAGCCCAAGATGCAACTCTTTCTTTTTCTTGAGAGAATTTGCATTTGCAAGCTATTTTCAGTTTACTGGGAAGGTATTTTAAAAATAAATTTAAAAAAGAAAGTACTTTCCCCCCATAGAGTTGGCATTAAATATGGCAGTAAATTTTTAAGATTTTTGGTTTGTTCATATGTTTGTGGTTTTGCAGGCCCCAAGTATGCAGATGTTGTGTTTCTGTTGGACAGCTCTGATCACCTGGGATCTAAGTCCTTCCCATTTGTGAAAATGTTCGTCACCAAAATGATCAACAGTCTCCCCATAGAGGCTGACAAATACCGTGTGGCCCTGGCCCAGTACAGCGACAAGCTTCACAGTGAATTCCACCTGAGCACCTTCAAAGGCAGGAACCCCATGCTGAACCACCTCAAGAAGAACTTTCAGTTCATTGGTGGGTCCCTGCAGATAGGAAAGGCTCTTCAGGAGGCTCACAGGACCTATTTCTCTGCACCCACAAATGGGAGAGACAGGAAACGGTTTCCCCCAATTTTGGTGGTCCTGGCTTCGGCGGAATCTGAGGATGATGTGGAAGAGGCTTCAAAGGCTCTGCAGAAGGACGGTGTGAAAATCATCTCCGTGGGGGTGCAGGAAGCTTCTGAGGAAAACCTGAAGGCCATGGCCACGTCTCAGTTTCATTTCAACCTTCGGACAGTCAGAGACCTCAGCATGTTTTCCCAAAACATGACACAGGTCATCAAAGATGTAACAAAGTACAAGGAGGGGGCAGTTGATGACATCCTTGTAGAAGGTGGGCTTAGGATGCGTGTATAGGAATGATGATAAAACACTTAGTGAAAAACACTTTAAAATGTTAAAATGATAAAACATTTTAGTGAAAAACTAAAATGTGGAGAGGATTGGAATTCTGTGAACATTCCTATCCCCAAAATGGGCACATTTTCAGATGTTATGTATCCATACGTTTAAGAGAGTCCAGTGATTGTGACTATTTTCAGTTCAGTGAACCCCCCAAGTGTTGGTTTCTCACATTTCACTTATCCATGTTGCGTGACATTCACAGACTTCTTAAAATTGAGGGGTGCTTTCTTCCTGCCAGCCGGCTCATCTCTGAGCTATTTTGCTGGGCTTTAGTTGCTATGTAGTTTTAGTATTGATTCATATAAAAGGTAAATTTGCTTCTAAAGAAATTCTTGACTCTTGAAACCATATAATATAATCCTAGAATGTTAGACCTAGAAGCAACTTCCTGAAATACAAGCCCCTTCTTTGTTTTTGTTTTTGTTTTTGTTTTTGTTTTTCCGCAAATAGGAACTTGTATATACCCTTAGAAGTGATGAACCTTGGCCGGGTGCAGTGGCTCACACCTGTAATCCCGACACTTTGGGAGGCCAAGCTGGGCAGACTACGAGGTCAGGAGTTCAAGACCAGCCTGGCCAACCTAGCGAATCCCATCTCTACTAAAAATTAGCTGGGCATGGTCGTAAATGCCTGTAGTCTTAGCTGCTTGGAAGGCTGAGGCAGGAGAATTGCTTGAACCAGGGAGTCAGAGGTTGCAGTGAGCCAACATTGCACCACTGTACTCCAGCCTGGATGGCACAGTGAGACTCTGTCTCAGGAAAAAAAGAAAAAGTGATACGTCTTGGTCCAGGTTGCAATTTAAAGTCGGAGCTCATAGGCCAGGTCTCCCAATTCCCAGCCATGCAGTTTCAGCTCCAGACTTCCTCACTCCCTGCTGCCCTGTTGTGAATTAGTTTTCCCTGTGTTCTGCTCTGTGGCCAAACTGTCCTCTTCAGGAGTTTGTGATCATCATTCAAGAGAGTGGCAGGGATAGCTGGCAAAAAACAATGTGTTCAATGTGTACGTGTCCAAATATGTAATACAGGAAACTCACATTATTCCTGGTTAAATCAGTTTGAAGGAGCTGATATACATAATTACCTGTGAGTAAGAGAGAATGCTTTTCTTGGAGTCATGTATGAAACTCTAGGTCCTTATTACTAGTATCTTTCCCAAATAAAAGAACTGAAAGTGCAGTTGCTGTTTCATTCCTATTAGGAATATTTGGACTGTAACTGCTAACTATAGTGTTGATTGATACTTGAATGATTTTAATACGATAGCAATGACTATGGTTCACTGAGTGAACTTTATATACCAGGCCCATGCTAAGAATATTATCTCATTAAATCCCCATAACAACTCTATGAGATTAATATTATCTTCCTTTTATAGACAAGAAAATTGAAGCTGGGAGTTTAGCTAAGACATAGTATTTGAACCCAGGTCTCTCTAATCTCAACTTCATGATGATGTGTCTACCTCCTTCTCTAAGTGCATAACTGAGCTCTGCTGTATGTTCCTCGTGCCTTCTAATGCTGAGCAAAATGCTGAACCACCAGCTAAAATTGTGCTTGTTTATTTCCTGCCCACATAGTTTGCCAAGGCCCTTCTGTGGCTGATGTTGTGTTCCTGTTGGATGTGTCAGTCAACGGAAGTGAGGAGAACTTTGACTTTCTAAAAGAATTCTTGGAAGAAAGTGTATCTGCTCTTGACATAAAGGAAAATTGCATGAGGGTTGGCCTTGTGGCCTATAGCAATGAGACAAAAGTGATAAGTTCACTGAGCATGGGCATAAATAAGTCAGAGATTCTCCAGAATATACAGAACCTCTCTCCCCAAATGGGGAAGGCCTACACTGGAGCTGCCATCAAAAAGCTCAAGAAGGAAGTCTTTAGTGCACGGAATGGCAGTCGGAAGAATCAGGGGGTGCCCCAGATTGCCGTGCTGGTGACCCACCGAGCTTCAGAAGACAACGTGACAAAAGCAGCTGTTAACCTCCGACGGGAGGGTGTGGCCATCTTCACCCTGGGCATAGAGGGGGCCAGCGACACCCAGTTGGAAAAGATAGCATCTCATCCTGCTGAGCAGTATGTCTCCAAACTGAAGACCTTCGCCGACCTAGCTGCTCACAACCAGACATTTCTGAAGAAGTTGCGGAACCAAATAACACACACAGTCTCTGTCTTTTCAGAGCGGACTGAAACGCTCAAATCTGGTAAGGTCTTCTGCTGAAAGAAGGATTGCTGAATTCTTTTTTTTTTTTTTCTTGTCTCTCAAATAATCTGTATACAGAGGGGATTGGCCAGGTAAGATGTGGGTGGGAAGGATAAGTTCCTAATTTTTTACTCTAGCTTGATCACACAAAGCCTAATTTGGGGACAATAAAAGTCACTGAGGTATTGGCACGGAGAGAAGAGATTTCCCCTTTTAGTTCTTCTTTTGTTGGGCTTTAATTAGATTTGTTACTCATCCACGCCCCAGAATACCTTCCGTTTGCTATTTTCCTATCTTCTTTTGTCTCTCTCTCGTCTCTCATGTTACCCTGCCCTTTCCTTTATTTCTTTATTATTTTCATAGTTTTCTCACCCACGTCTTCTTCATTTCCAAATTCCAATTTAGAGAATAAACAGGAGTATGATTTGAATGGAGAACAATGTAATTATGTAATTTGTTGTGGGGTACCATTCTAGCATCCACCAGTGTAGGGACAGAGACAGAGGGTGATGTATCTTGCATTTCATATATACACTTATACTATGTAAATATTTGTATGTATAGGTATACATATGCATGTATATATTCTTCCATAAATACTTATAGCTTTTTTACTACAAGTATCATCGCCTCACTCACGAATGGTATCCATAGTTAGTTGACTAGGAGTGGATAAGGAGTAAGCAATTTGTTCAAGAGAGAGTTCATGTGCCCACATGTCCAGTTAAATACCTTCTCCACTTCCCAAAACACTACTTGACTTTTTGCCAAGCAGTTATTTACTAAGGGAAGAAGTGTCTTGTAAAGGTCAGCTTCAAATGTTTTAAATCTCCTGCTATATTCAGATTTATCCTGATTCATGGCAGAGAATTAGGGTAATAAGTGTCAGAAGCAGTTCATTTGGGTTAAGAGATGCTAAGATTCTTCCATTTTAAGCTAACAAACCATACCTTTTTAAGCCTAGTAGCTGTTTATTTACGAGGTTCATATTTGTTCTTCTCTCCATCTGCTTTCATTTCTGCATGTTCGCCTCAAATGCCACATGCAACTTACTGATTCCATTTCAGGTTGCGTGGACACTGAGGAAGCAGACATCTACCTGCTCATCGATGGCTCCGGAAGCACTCAGGCCACAGATTTCCACGAAATGAAGTCCTTCCTGTCAGAGGTGGTGGGGATGTTCAACATTGCCCCCCATAAGGTGCGGGTTGGGGCCGTTCAGTATGCTGACAGCTGGGACTTGGAATTTGAGATCAATAAATATTCCAACAAGCAGGATTTGGGAAAGGCCATTGAGAATATCAGGCAGATGGGTGGGAATACAAACACAGGTGCAGCTCTGAATTTCACACTGAGTCTGTTGCAAAAAGCCAAGAAGCAGCGAGGAAACAAAGTGCCATGTCACCTTGTTGTCCTGACAAATGGCATGTCCAAGGATAGCATCTCGGAGCCTGCAAACAGACTGAGAGAAGAGCGCATTCGAGTCTATGCTATCGGGGTCAAGGAGGCCAACCAAACACAGCTGCGAGAAATTGCAGGAGAGGAAAAAAGAGTATATTATGTGCATGACTTTGACGCACTGAAAGACATAAGAAACCAAGTTGTTCAAGAAATCTGTGCTGAAGAAGGTAAGAGAAATCATGGCTTGACCTACTGACTTCCGCAAATTGCTCTCCTGGCAATAATTGACATTACCGGTTTAGAAAAACAAAAATTACTAAGTTGACATTTGTTGACCTTTGTAACCATGTTTGTTCTCTAGAACAAAGCTAAGAGCCCATTATAGTGTTGTTCTAAATATCTGAAGCATAAGAAAAATATTTGAAGGAATTTCCCTAATAGGTATTAATTAGCTTCCTCTCACAATTCTTCATGGATAGAGATGAGTATACACCACATGTGTAACATGATAAAATGATTTGAGATTGTAAGGAGTACTTCAGGTTTGATTTGAATGTCTTTTTATAAAGCTTTTATGAAATCTTTTAGAGCTATATCATTAGTTTTCAACCAGGAGTGATTTTTGCGCCCTCAGGGGATATTTGTCAATGCCTAGAGACATTTCTGATGGTCATAACTGGGGGATGCTCCTGGCATCTAAGAGGTAGAGGTCAGGCAAACTGCGAAGCATTCTACAGTATCCTACAATGCAGACTTGCCACCTCAGTAAAAATGATGCCTGATATGTCAGTGATGCTGAGGTTGAGTAACCCTGAGTTACATATTTAAGCAAATTACTAAATAACAAATAGGATATTCTCATTTTCATTGTCTTCTGTGCTTTTTTTTTACTACTAATGCTTCTTACCAAATACTTCAATATAAAATTATTTGCGTTTTAGATTTTCCTGTTTACTCTGAACTTTTTACATGTAGCTGACTTGAATAAACATCCCAGTTTTTGCTATGCAGCTTGCAAAGAGATGAAAGCGGACATCATGTTTCTGGTGGACAGTTCTGGAAGTATAGGACCTGAGAACTTCAGCAAAATGAAAACCTTTATGAAAAACCTGGTGAGCAAATCTCAGATTGGAGCAGATCGGGTGCAAATTGGCGTAGTCCAGTTCAGTGGCATCAATAAGGAGGAGTTTCAGCTCAACAGATTCATGTCCCAAAGCGACATTTCAAATGCAATAGACCAAATGGTTCACATTGGAGAAACCACCTTGACTGGTAGCGCCCTGAGCTTTGTGTCTCAGTACTTCAGCCCCACCAAGGGCGCCCGGCCCAACGTCAGAAAGTTTCTCATCCTCATCACGGATGGTGAAGCTCAGGACGTAGTAAAGGAACCAGCGGTAGCGCTCCGACAAGAAGGCATAATCATCTACTCTGTGGGAGTGTTTGGCTCCAATGTCACCCAGCTCGAAGAGATCAGCGGGAGGCCCGAAATGGTTTTTTATGTTGAGAATTTTGACATTCTGCAGCACATTGAAGATGATCTTGTTTTTGGAATATGCAGCCCCCGTGAAGGTAGGCATGGGCATACTCACTAGCAGGACTATCCAAACAACAGATGTCTTTTTTAGCTCCTATTTCTTGAATTAAGTATAGTTCTGTTTGCATATGGTACACTTCCGGTTTAATTGAAATGTTTCTCCTAGTGGATTTGACCTGTTGAATTAGACAGACAGGAAGAATTTTGGTTTACCTGACCCATTCCCACTTGCAGGCAAATAGCACTAGAGGGATAAATCTCCATTTAAGAAAAAATGATATCATACCGAGTCTTAGATCAGGTTCCCTAGAAGCAGAAGTTATGTCAGGGCTCTTTGGAAGTGATTTATTGAGGAATTTTCAGGAGGGGTGTAGGAACAGGACCGGACATGGGTAGGAACTGAACAAGGAAATCACCTTAGCTGGAGTCTGGTTCGGCCTGATCCCATGGGGAGCTCTAGAGCATGAATTACAGAGCTGGTCTTACCTTGAGGCGAGGGGCTCAGCCTTGTTGTGTGCCCTGTGTCACTGGGCTACGTGTGGGTTGCTGAGGCAGGCCTGGCATTTATCCTCCCGGGCAAGGTGGCTCCCCTTTGACCTACACATCTACTATACATAGAGTTTATTTTTGCCATTTCTAAAGACCAATACTTGTATCAAATGGTGATAATGTTTGGGAAAACACTTTGATATTTATCAAATTTTATAAAGGAGGAATATAGTAAGAGAACTTGAGCAATGGTTGCTTCAAAGGAAGTAAGGAGCATAGTCCCCACCACCTTTCTGTGAAACCACAGAGTAATGGAAATGATCAAAAGTCATGGAAATGCAGGGTAATGGAAATGATCAAATTAAAAACTCAGCAAATATAAGGGGCTGATTTATACTGGGATCCATAGGGCTTGATGAAACGAGCATTCTGAAAATGAAGGAGAAGGATCTTCATTGAGTTTAAAGGGAAGAGAGGAACACTGTTTTCTTATTCAAATAACAGTTCTGTTCAACTCCCACTGGGAGGTTTGATGCTGGTGATCTGATTTTGTAGGAAAAGGAGTACACCTGGTTTGTATTTCCTGGGAATTTTACCCAGAACAAATAAGAACTTTCTGAAGTGTTCTGACACTGAGTATTCTACCCCCAGTCTCCTGGGTAATCCAAGCAGGCTTCCCAGGCAGGCCGAGACTATGGGGGACGTAGTTCTTCTACATAAATTCCCAAGTAGAGCCAGCCTTTCTTGGGAATTTGGTTGATTGCTCTGTACACATGGCCTGCAATTCATGGGGATAAGTACATTGGCTCTAAGGTTTTCAACAGCCCTTACATAGCCAGCAAGTGGATGGCAAAAGAAAATGTGGTACCTCTGGGACTGTTGGTTGGTGGGGTGGGGCGGGGGAAGGGGGGCAGCTTCTTTCTCACTATTCCATTTCCCAAGAATGGATGAGTTAATGTTTGGATCATGCCTTTCTATGGCCTGTAGCGAGAATGTGCTACATAAGGACTAAATCACCATCTTAAAGTTCCCCTTCTCCAGAACGGATGAGTTAGATTTGGAACACTGCGTCTTTGGAGGGAACGTGCTGCACATGGATTAAGAGTTAATTGTGTCTTTCTTGCTTTACTTTTCCATGGTGCTGACCTCAGATGTGAAAAGTTAATAGGAGCATTATGCTAGAACAGCTTAGTTGGACCAAGTGCAAAGTGGGCTTATTTCTATGATAAGACCCCAAAATGAAAATAGAGGTTTCAAAAAAGGCAAAAGTGAGGAAAAAGTAACTTTGAAAAGTCAGCCATCAGAGAATCATGAAAAATAGTGTTGCCAAATTCATTTTCATTTGGTCATTTCCCCAGGGTTTATATTAAGTATACAAATCTTAAGATCCCTGTGGCCAAAAAAAAAAAAAAAATTGTATAAATGAAAGCACATGTTGGAGAAACCACTTATACAGAAAAATTTACACAGAACTGATTTCTTTAGTCCAAAGATTTTAAAATTTTTTCTTCCTAACAATCCTGTGATTGCCACTTCACCCCATCTCACTCCCTACAGTGGGCCCCCAGTTCACACCTGCCTTATCTTACACGCTTGCCTACGTGAGTGTTACCTAGGTACTGCCAGGACACACATAGGCGTATTGTCTCTCTTATCCAGGGAGTTGACATTCTAATGCACAGCATGATCCCCATGGGGAGAAAACACTAGCAACTTTTAAAAAGGCCGGGGCATCTCCCATGCTGTCCAAAGCTAATTTCATATGGTTTACCTTTCTCTTCCTCTTCCAGAATGCAAGCGGATTGAAGTTTTAGATGTTGTGTTTGTCATCGATAGCTCTGGCAGCATTGACCATGATGAATATAATGTCATGAAGGATTTTATGATTGGCTTAGTGAAAAAAGCTGATGTGGGCAAGAATCGGGTCCGGTTTGGGGCTCTCAAGTACGCCGATGACCCAGAGGTACTGTTTTATCTGGGCGACTTTGGCACAAAACTGGAGGTCATTTCAGTGCTCCAGAATGACCAGCCTATGGGTGGCAATACTTATACTGCCGAGGCACTGGGCTTCTCAGACCACATGTTCACCGAAGCCCAGGGCAGCCGCCTGAACAAGGGGGTGCCCCAAGTCCTCATTGTGATCACCGATGGGGAATCCCATGATGCTGATAAACTCAATGCCACAGCAAAGGCCTTGCGGGACAGAGGCATTCTTGTCCTGGCTGTGGGGATTGCCGGTGCCAATCCTGTGGAGCTGTTAGCCATGGCAGGATCAAGTGACAAGTACTTCTTTGTGGAGACTTTTGGAGGTCTGAAGGGAATATTTTCAGATGTGACAGCCAGTGTCTGCAACTCTTCAAAAGTAGGTAAGGTTCGTTAACTACATTTTTCCTAATTATTAGCAGAGGGACAAATGAGAGACAAAACAAAGCAATAACTGTCAGGAACAAGTTTTCCAGAGAGGAGAGAAGGAGCTCTCATTGTTTCATAGGACTTTCTATATTACAAAATCGCAGGGTTGAAAAGACCTCAGGGATATTTCATTCAGGCTCCTCCCCAAAGACAGATACCTTCTGCAGCATTCCTAGTCACTTTGTCCTAAACTCTTCTAATGACGGGGGATTCACCTGTTTTGTTTTGCTGTTGGCTTTTTTTTTTTTTCTTTTTTCTTTTAGCCAGGTCTTACTCTGTTGCCCAGGCTTGAGTGGAGTATCACAATCACAGCTCAATGTCCAGGACTCGGGTGATCCTCCTGCCTCTGCTTCCCAAGGAGCTGGGACTACAGATGTGTGTCATGAGGCCTGGCTTCATATATATATATATATTTTTTTTTTTTTTGTAGAGACAGGGTTTCACTGTTTTGCCCAGGCTAGTCTCAAACTCCTGGATTCAAGCAATCTGCCCTGCTTGGCCTCCCAAAGTGTTGGGATTACAAGTGTGGGCCCCCACACCTAGCTGAATTCACCAGTTGTGAACAGGCTGCATCAGAACACAAATTTGCTTCCACATTTTTCCACCCACTAGCTCTTTTCCCTGCTCTTTATCCAGGAAATCAAATTTTCCTCCTAAGAACCAGCTATAATTGCCTGACACCTTCTTTCCTTCGGGCTAGAAGTCCCCAATTTCTTTGCTTATTTCAGTTACGGCACAAGGTCATTTAAAATGTGGAGCCCAGCATTTAAAAAGTCTGTTCCAGCCTCAGAGGTTTTCAGGACAGAGCACAGTGGGACTTCCTTGGCACTGGATGCTGGGCCTCTATTCTGGCAGCTGGAGATTGCTTTGCTGCATGAGTGTATGTCTTCCCTCCTTCATCATTTTGCTGTCATTTTATGCTTCTGGTTCAGAGAAAGATTGTTTTCTACTTAGTTGCCTATTTTTCCCAAGACGTATTTTACTAAAGATACTAAATGTTTTTACTAGATGAATTGCTATTAATTCATGATTCCAACATCTAGATATAGTAATTGTTTTTAAAACTCATCTAACTTCTCTGGTTTTCCTAAGCCCTGGCTTCTTAGAATGTAGGTACAATCATTTTCTTTCACAGAACTAACCAAATCTTTCTGGGTCTTACTGAAAACTGGTACAAATCTCTTCTCGGTAGCCATTGCCCAAAATTTGATCTTCCTTTCTCAAGTTCCTTATAGGAGCTGACATTGCATTTTCATATTGAAAGTTCTCCTTTGGACAGAAAAACAGTACTAGATTTCCTTTATTGAAATCTGAAACAAAGTAATTTAATGAGCTAACCAAATCCTAAAGGATCAATTTACCGTATTTCTTCTTATCACTTCCTTATTTATCTGGACTTGAAGAAACTCAGATACCTTTAATATTTCCGAGGCTATGATGAGAACTAAGTTAGGACGGTGGTGAATCACTGGAAACGATCATGCTTACCAGAAAGCTAAGGAACCCACATGTGCCAAGCATAACTCATTCTTTGGCAACGGCCTCCCATGTTCTTCTTGTTTTATGTTTGCTGTGTTAATATGGGGGATGCATCTCTATATTGCATTGCTTGTTCACAAATGTTTTCCTCAAGTAGATATTTTTGCCTACATATAGCAGAAGGGGGCTGATGAAAACTGACTAGATACAGACCAAAAGGCATTTTTTTAAAAAAACTCTCTCAATATGCACTAATGAACTAGAAAAATATTTATTGGCTCAAATGACCTGGGAGGCTAAGTCAGTAATATGAACCATCTGCCTCTTTGTTCGAACCCCTACATGTATGTGTGCTTTGTTTTCTCTTCTCTTATGTGCTACCACTGTCACCAGGCTTTCTGGAAGAGCTGAGGCTAGATTGTAGATGACAAGTTTTCCTTAGCATGGGCCCTAGTTCTCTGGCATCTCAGAAAATAAAATGGCATAAGACCAAACAAACAAGTCCAGAGAAGCATAAAAAGATGTGTGAGTGATTCATGCCTTGTACTGACTTTATGAACGGATCATTTGCTTTTATTTCCTCTCCAGTTAATTCAATTAATTGTGACCACCGGCTAGCATAAGATAAGAAACCCCTTTCAGAAATAACATTTCTATATAGCTGTGAACATTTAATTAACTCTTGGTGGATTAAAGAGCGAATAACAATCTGGGTTTGCTGTTGTTCCTTCTCTTCTTTGTAGATTGTGAAATTGACAAAGTAGATCTCGTTTTCCTTATGGATGGTTCAAATAGTATTCACTCAAGTGACTTCACGAAGATGAAGGAATTTCTGGTATCTGTCGTTCAAGACTTTGATGTCAGCCTCAACAGAGTGCGTATAGGAGCCGCACAGTTTAGCCATAACTATCGCCAGGAGTTTCCACTGGGAACTTTCATAGGTGAAAAGGAGATATCGTTTCAGATTGCAAACATCCAGCAGCTCGGCGGAAACACACACATCGGTGACGCCCTCAGGCAGGTGGGACATTACTTCCGGCCGGACATGGGCAGCAGGATAAATACTGGTACCCCACAGGTGCTGCTGGTCCTTACAGACGGCCAGTCCCAAGACGAGGTGGCCCAGGCCGCGGAAGCGCTGCGGCGCAGAGGCATCGACATCTACTCCGTGGGTGTCGGGGACGTAGATGACCAGCAGCTCGTTCAGATCACCGGGGCCGCAGAGAAAAAACTGACCGTGCACAACTTCGACGAGCTGAAGAAGGTCAAAAAAAGGATCGTTCGCAACATCTGTACCGCAGGCGGTGAGAGCAGTAAGTATTTGGCGTGTTCTCGGTATTGATTCCCCACCCTGTCTTCTCTGGCCTGGTCCTCAAGCTCCATTTTCATCTCCTGGGGCTGCTGGGAGAATGTAGATGTGTGCCTCTGGATTTCAAATCGAGCTTTTCACAGTAAATAATTTTCGTGACCTGTGGATTGAGAAACAGGGTGCTTGAAATCGGGTGCCCTTTTTTCTCCCTGTCTCCTGGGGGAGCAGGGCTCCTCCGTGTGGGAATGCCTGCCGTCAGGTGTGGGGAAAGGGCCGTTGTTTGCAATCCGGCTAGTTTCAGAGGTTGAAGAGCATGCCTCAAAGAAAGGAAAATATTTGCCTGAGTTTGGGTTGCTTGGCAATATGGCCTATAGGGCTGCCAAGAGCTTCGATACAGGTAGGTAGGAAACCTCCCTAGAGGTTTATATCTTTATTATGAAAGTTCATTGCAGAAGTGAGTAAATATCTTCTTTACATTGAGTGCATTTTGACACTTTCAGCAGATGAAAGTCAAATGTCTTAAAGGAGAGGTAACTTTTTCTGTGATAAAGACACCTCATGGGTTGGCTATGATTCTGTTTAACTCCCCATGGCAAACATTAACCCCAGATTTCCACGCAAAAAAAAGAAAGAAAGAAAAGAAGCTGCAAGTTCATTAAGAGGCAGCTCTGCAGACAGCCCGACAGTAGATCCTGGCTTTATGGCCATTTCTGTCTGGGACAAGTTGCCTAACTTCCCTAAGTTTAATTTTCTCACCTCCTACATGTGTATGATAGCAGCACCTAGTCCAAAAGAACATTATGAGGATTAAGTGAGAAAATGCGTACTTTTTAAATTGTACTTTGAGTTCTGGGGTCTATGTGCAGATCTTGCAGGATCGTTGCATAGGTACACACATGCTATGGTGGTTTGCTGTCTCCTTCCCCCTGTCACCTACATGCAGCATTTCTCCCAATGTTATCCCTCCCCAACCTCCCCACCCCCTGCCGTCCCTCCCCTAGCCCCCAAAAGACCCCAATGTGTGACATTCCCCTCCCTGTGCCCATGTATTCTCATTGTTCAACGCCCACCTATGAATGAGAACACGTGGTGTTTGGTTGTCTGTTCTTGTGTCAGTTTGCTGAGAATGATGGTTTCCAGATTCATCCATGTCCTTACAAAGGACATGAAGTCATCCTTTTATGTGGCTGCATAGTATTCCATGGTTTATATGTGCCACAGAGAAAATGCATATTTAAAGCTTGGTAAGCATAACACCTGGGATATAATTATAAAGTCCCTTCATTTTTGTCTGCTAGTGACCATTAAATTGATTAATGGAGGTTAGTCTTCCCTTGCCCCTGATCACTTTCAGGAAATAAAAGAATCTCCTTTCAGTGATTAATATGTCCATCCCAGCGTAATATTAACTTGACATTTTATTTAAGGTTACCCCACATTTCCAGCTTGCTACAGGCTGCCTTGCTGTGTGAGAAGTGGTTGGGGTTTCACCCTCCGTCCACAGCCTTTCACTGCACTCCCCATCTTCCAGGTGCTGTGCCATCTTACTAACCAGAGTTTCTGGCCTCTCCGGAAGGAGAAGGTACTGGGAAAGGGGAGCAACTAAAGGGATACAGGAAAGTTTCTAATCTGATGGCCCTTGTCAGGAATTGGTTTTCTCTAACAATAGCTGGGTCCATTCATAGGTCCTTCAAAGATTCTACTTCCTGCCCCACGTCATCCCCTTCCCCACCAAGCCACCTTTGTCTAAAGATCTCTCCACCACAGTTTTTTGTAGGAGGGTGAATATGTCTCTATTCCAGAGTGTCCCTTACACCTTTCTCAGCCTCTGGGTATCTGGGGATGCCTCTAGCTTCGTTCAACTGAGGTTTCTCTGCCCCCCTCCAGGGGGATTAGAGGCCACAACAGCTTGCTGTCCACTCAGCCATATCAGCTCCATGACCAACAATAACATATCAGTTGCTGGCCAGGCACAGTGGCTCACCCCTGTAATCCTAGCACTTTGGGAGGCCGAGGTGGGAGGATCACAAGGTCAGGAGTTCACGACCAGCCTTGCCAATATGGTGAAACCCTGACTCTACCGAAAATATTTTTAAAAATTAGCTGGGAGCAGTGGAACTTGCCTGTTGTCCCAGTCACTCAGGAGGCTGAGGCAGGAAAATCATGAGAACCTGGGAGGCAGAGGTTACGGTGAACTGAGATCGCGCCACTGCACTCCAGCCTGGCAGCAGGGCGAGACTCCGTCTCAAAACAATGAAACAAAACACAAAACAAATAGCGTATCAATTGCCTTAATAAAAACTGGGAATCATAGCCCTCCAATGTGACTGCCTCTTCTCTGTAGGGAGGACAATATGCCTCCCATGCCTCATGCTTTAGAATTTCCAGGATTAGGTTATCTCCAAGTTATCTCTGAAAGTTTCTCTCTCAGCTTGAAAAGGAAATCAGCCGCTCTCCTTTCATGTGTGTCTGTGCCTAATGGGAGACCTCACAGCACATCAACAGCTCTCTCTAAACACACTTTTCCAAACCACAGTCTCAAACCTTTAATAAGACCTGATGTGCTGGTTAAAGGTTAAGAGTTCTATAGTTGATTTGGGACTACTGGCTTTCTAACTCCTGCTTCACATACTTTGGAATGTATCTGATTACCTCAGCCAACCTTCAACATTAATTTCTTGTTTCATGTGAAATGCTCAAGCCCAGTTATTAGGCAGAAAATTATCTCTGAACCATCTAGTTTTGATCTGACTGCCATGAAAGAAAACCATGTGGAAAGTAAGAAACAGGGGTATGAACTCCAAGTAGTTAATGAGTTGTTTTTTAAGAAAATAAACATGAATGCAAAAAATAAGAAAAATACTCTGTATTAAGATAAAGTTGAGGTTATTACTCCAGCAGGGAAGAATGTGAGGCAGGCTGTGAGCTGAAGACTGATGAGGCTGAAATGAACACTGATAAAGCTTCAAAGGCATGTACAAATATATTAGGGGATGCCAGTTCTTTTTAAACTATAAATCCCAAAATAAGGAAATCAGACAGTAGCTGGGTACAGCTCAAAGCAAACTGGACCGAAGGCCTGAATGTTTGCTCTGCTTCTTACTAAAATATGCATAACTTTGGAGATACCACTACCTTTTCTGAGTCTTAGTTTTCTGGTTTATAAAGCTAAAGCATCTCTCAAAGTTCCTCTAGTTGTATACTGCGATTCAACATATGTGAAAGGGAGCTCAGCTGCCATGGAGGTATGAGGGAGGTGACTAAGAATCAGTATTTTTTGAGCATCTACGAAGAGTTAAACCTGGAACTATACGCACTTTAAATGTACTGTCTCACTTAATTTTCCCAACATCTTATGTGGTTTGTATTTATGTTTTCATTTATAAATATGGAAACTGGGGTTCAAGGGAATGTTGGTAGCCTTATCTAGATCATACAGGAAGTAAGACTAAGCACATTTGGAAACCTCAGCTTGTCTGACCACAGGCTGTTTCTCCCCCCACCCCCACCCCTGAGTTTTTTGTTAAATTAAGCTGTTTTCTTGATACAGTTGTTGTCTAGGTTACCTGATGTTGACATTATAAAGAACTAGTATCTAAGTGTTGTGCTTCACCAATTAGTAACTGGAGCTTATTAAGTCATCGTAGGTTTGTATCTTTGAAATTGCTTCCACAAGCTGATATTCCCTAAGGAAACCACTTCCTCCTAAACTGTCACTTCCAATAGCATAATCCAGTGGCAGAAGTAGCAACCTGCATGACCTGTCATCACTGGCAGGAAGTAATAGAGTAAGTGGTTCAGCATGTGGACCCCAAAGAAGCCTGGATCTGAATCCTATGTGTGAGACCCACAGTATTAACAGTAAGACCTTGGGCAAGCTTCTGTGTCACAGCTTCCTCATCTGCAAAATGAAAAAGAGCTTCTACTTATTCTGTGTCTTATGAGGACAAGTGAGATCGTGAATTGGAAGTGCATGGTAAGTGTTCATTGAGACTTAGCTGACATCATAGCATGTTGCTGAGAGTACCATGAAGTGATCTCTTGAATGAAAATTCGTAGAGTAATTGGGTTAGTTCACAGAAAGACAATTTACCAAGACTTCCTTACTTTAGGGACTAAGTATTTTAGCCACATTTCAGAGCTATATTCAAATTTAATAAATATACATGGTATTTTCTTAAGCAACTGAACGCCACAGTCTGTTTTTTCACCTTTATTTGTGCTTACTTTCTCAATTTTTCTTTGAGACTAGCTATTTCTGTTCCCTAGGGGAGACTTTGAGCTATTTTCAGGATGTGGAGGTTCTGCCTTCTTTTGGTATGGAGCCATGATCAGGTAGCAAAAGAATCAGAAGCATCTCTCATCTTCTGTATCTATCATTATGAATAGACGAATCAAAAGGGAGACTGAGCAAAAGACCAGTCTGACTAGGATAAGAGATAACCTCAGGATTTGATTCAAGAGATGTGGAAAATATAAGGAAGAAAAAGTAGACATTCATTTCCAACTTTTCTTAATAAGGAGCTCTTTTTACGTTCCTGCCTTAACTCGGTCCGGGTTCTTCAACAAACAGAGCTTGAAGCAAAGTTGACATGCCAATACTTTATTGGGAGTGCAGTCCCAGGGAAGCAAGAGTGAATGGAAGGGAAGTGATATGGGAAAGGAGGGGGAAGTAAATAGAAGGTACTATGTTGTGTTACCAAGTTAGCCACAGCTTAAGAAAGCGCCTTGGAATATTGGTCATGCAGAAAATCACTAGAGAAGCCCTGCAGAACCACCGTGTAGACCAGCCCAGCACGGGGAATAAAGGAGAGGCTTTCCTTGCCAATTCCTTCCCATCTACTGCCTCTCATAAGTCAGAGTTAACTTTCCTACACTATTGTGTTGCGTTACCCAGCCCCTCCGGGAAATGAAACCAGAAACGGGTCCCACAGTGCACTACATCTAGGGCTGGAAATGGTGAAGGGGCCAGGGCTTCCCTGAGTTCACGTGGGTTGCACACGGACACCAGAACCACTGAGATCCTTCTGCAGTGAGCGCGGTGGAGGCTGTGTCAAAGCCAGGCTGTCACCTCTGTGGTTAGCAGACTAACGATGGTGGCAGCTGGGCTGGCTCTTCAGGGGAGAAGTGTCTACGCCTTGGGGAAGGGAGGAAGCAAATCTGGGAGATATACAAACTGAGGCTTTAACACTCCCTGGCTGTACTTTATAGATCATTCTTTTTTTAATCGAAAATGCCCCGTCTTTCAAAGTCCCAAACAAATTTATCTCCTATCCCAGCTATTAACTACCACTTGCCCCTTCAAAGTATTTTCTCAAGAGTCTGTCTTCTAATCTTAGAAATGTACCCTAGCCTCTTGTCAGTATTTCTTAATACCAAAAATCTGCCATCATCAGCTCCAATTAAGAACTGTCTTTTTAAATGAATAATTAGAATCAGCTTTTGTGCTTGGCAGGAAACAATGGGACTATAACTGTCTGGTCCAATTCACTCTTCTGTGCTTTTGTGTTTTTATTTTGAAATCTATATCCCCTTATTTTTTTAGACAAGAAAATTAATGCCCAGAGAAGATAAGAGCTGCCAAAAGTAGTTTAACAGTAACAGAAGTAACAGGGTGGTGACCAGCATATGACTGAAACTGAACCTCTGTCTTCCCACTCATAGACCTGACCCCCAGGATTCCACACTGCAGTTGGAGGACTAGTCAAGAGCCCAGCCTGCTACTCCTACTACTCTTACTTCTTTTGTCACCCTCTGTAGCCAGTCCTGCTAATTACCTTCTTAAATATTTTGCTTTTATTGCCCCTTTCTTATTCCCACTTCTGTTATCCTAGTTTAATTCTTTATTATTTCTTTGGAAATCCCAATTTTAGCCTTCTCCGTAGCTCACTTCCAAAACTATCCCTGCTTCCAGTCAGTCTGCAATCACCAGTGGCAGATTCTCTACAAAGCACAATGTGTGTCAGGGAAGACTTCAAGACAGGGCTCCTGATTGAAGGGCAGATGTCTCAATGAAGCTTTTAGGCAGTTGCCTGAGAGCCACTTGCTCAGTATGGTTTGGTCTCTCTCACTGTACTCAGACACGTGGTTACTGATTCTGGGCTTGTCTAACAAATTCCTTTCCTTCTACCACGTGATTATGGAATCATTTGTCAATTAATTAAACACAAGAAACTTGTTTACCTAAATAAGTTTGTACTTTCAGCAATCTAGACACAAATTTAAAATACACAGTGTTTTTAGGTGACACTTCCCAAGGTCACTTGATGTCATTTTGGCATTTCTGCGGGTTGGTTTTTTTTCACATGAGTCTATTTTCCTTAAAGATATTATCATATCTTAGTTACTACCTGGTTTTCTGCTCAGGTTAAAACAGTCATCAAAAGTGAAACTTTCAAGCTCAAGACAGGTCTTAGAAGACATAGATGCAAGACGAATTTTAGAAAGGATATATTCTGATGCTTTTTTCTAACTAGTTTATCTTATTTTCTGATTAAGAAGAGATTTGCAAGAAAGTAAAATACAGTAAAATAAGATGTCCAGTCTTTCAGATTTTTTGATAACACTTTGATTTAACTGGAATCTCATGATGAAAATTGATTATCAAAGATTGCTGTTTTCCCTCAGTCAACTCATCTCTCATTAAAAGTTAAGTTGCCAGCACTTGTTTTAAAAGTTGAAATAGATGCTTTTGGTTTTCAATGCTTGCAAATGTCCAACTTGACCAGTGGGTCTGGAAGTAGTTAGGCATTTGTCTTTACAAGGAATATTTTAAAAATTGCTGATCTAAGCAAAGCAAATTAAAAACAACCACTCATCTTATCACGCAAGCTGTATGTGTTTAATTTGCTAACAAAGATTAGAGTTGTTAGCCAAGTTAAAAATTCTTGAAGGAAGAGTGCATCACGTGACTTTATTGTTCTCTGAGTAACTGCCTTTAGGACACTCGGCTTAAAATATCAAGCCCTTTCTTGTTTCTCCAACACTTAAGTTTCCCTAGAATTAATAAAAATAAGAGCAAAGCACTTTAATGCTACACCCCTCTAAGTATTTCTTAACTCCAAAATGGCAATGTCCTTGGCTTCTGGAATGGCTGAGCTCCTAAAGCAGCACCATTCTTTGACATGGTCGAAGGTGAATAACTTGGATACCAGTTTCTTCACTTGTCAAACAAGCTCTCAAAGGATCTCCTGAATTTTTTGTTTTTGCGTTTTTCTTTCCTGAGTGGATGTTAGACAACAAGAGGAATCAAAGGCTCATTTTAGAAAGATAAATCATCAAAACCATTCCTTAGATGAGTCCTTTGTGATTTACTTTTTTCTAAGTGAATTTATTCAAATGTCCTTAAATTTCCCTTATAATTTGTTGAATGACTTCAGTTGATAAGTAGCATTCTATGAATGTCTTATTTTAGACTCTTAACATTCCCACAGTGTACTTTAGACATATTTAAATGATTCTGCATGGCTTTTTCAATAGCTAAAATAAAATATTTCAGAACTTCATTATAGAATCATCAGATTTGATATGAACTGAAAAAAATGTACCCTTACACTTTCACAGATTAAAAGAGTTGTTTTAGCGTTTTCCCTTAATTATTTATGCCCTACTTTGTGTTCCAACTTCATAACTGAAAGAGAATTTCAAGTTCCTTGATTCAGGCATGGTGTCTGAGTTAAATAAAGGTGTTTGTTTACTAAGGCACGCTTTTCCTTTGAATCCTAGACTGTTTCGTGGATGTTGTGGTGGGATTTGATGTCTCAACTCAGGAGAAAGGGCAGACTTTGCTCGAAGGTCAGCCTTGGATGGAAACCTACCTTCAAGACATCTTACGCGCCATCAGCTCCCTCAATGGAGTAAGCTGTGAGGTGGGCACAGAGACTCAGGTCAGTGTGGCTTTTCAAGTAACAAATGCCATAGAAAAATACTCTCCCAAGTTTGAGATCTACAGTGAAAACATACTGAATAGCTTGAAGGATATAACAGTTAAAGGACCATCTCTTCTCAATGCAAACCTCTTGAATTCTCTATGGGATACATTTCAGAACAAATCAGCTGCTCGAGGAAAGGTAACATGGCTTTATCTTATTTGTTGGTCTATGATTGCAGTGAACTCCTTTTAACTCATTTTTTTTTTTTGAATACTTTCTTAGGTGGTCCTTTTATTTTCAGATGGATTGGATGATGATGTTGAGAAACTTGAACAAAAATCTGATGAACTTAGAAAAGAAGGTACTGAGTGTGGAGGAAGAGTGTGAAGGGAGTGTTTATTAACTTTCTAATCTCAGAACTAAATTTCCAGGCTCTTAAATTTTGAATAACCTTGATTTTGGCGATCGCTGTATTTCTGTATGTACTAGGCAGACCAAATGAGCTCTCAGAATATTTTGACATCTTTTTTCTTCATGCCTTATATGTATGAAACAGCATCGAATACAGAGTCCTATCTTTTGTCTCATATTACTGTATTTCTTCTTCCTGACCTTTCCTGGAGAATGTTTGTGTCTCACCCCGCATTGTCTAATATTGCTCTAGTGTCAGCAAAAGTGAACAGCATGTTTTTTCCTTGACCAAGGAATAAGAGTCGGTTTTCTTCCAACACTCTTAAAGTTTCCAGAGTTGCAAGCATTGTTGGATAAGTTTACTCATGTTTTGGGGCTTTCTAATCGGTTCCTTCCTTCAGACCACAGATGGACCAACCATGGTGTTTGAGATTTTTAAACTCTGGCACCAGGCTTTTGGCTTTTGAAATCAAAGGCCAGTCTGATTTACTGTCAGTTTTTATGAAACCATGGATCGGGGAAGTGAAATACATCCACATATTCTTGTTTGACTAAGAATAGAAGTCCTCTTCTGTAAATGGGTGCTATTTCTGCCCCACCTACATCGCCTTTACTGGCAGATTCACCCATTCTCTAGCTGCTAACAACTCACAGCTTACTCCTTCTCAAGAACTGCCTGTGACCAGGACAGCTGCCTCACCTGGCAGGTTACTCTCCACCCCATCCTTGGGCAGCAGATTAGATTACAGAGTTGGACCTTTCCCTCTAAATGACACCAGTGGTGTGGTGCAATTGATGCTCCAGAGCTTCCTGGGATCGGGCTAAATAAAGCTAGACTCCAGCTGCAACACTGTCTTGCTCAGCAGCTTTCCCTGCGCTATCCTGTTGTCCTCACTCCCTTTCTCCTGAAAGCACTTCCTCAACAATTCGTGTGCCTCCACATCCTCATCTCAGACTCTGTTTCTAGGGAACCTGACCTAAGACACTACTTTTAGGTTAGCTAATAGAAGTTGACAGGACTTGGTCCTTACTATTTGGCTCTCTCTCTCTCTCCAATCTTAAACAAATTGCAAAATTCTCTGAGTTTACCTCTAGGGAGTAAGGGTTTTTTATTTATCCCTTATTTACTAAATATGCCTTGTTTCTATTCTCTCTGGTCTTGGTCTTTGTTCTTGGGCTGTAATTAAGGTTTTGATTAAGACTGAAAAAAGATCCTAGAGTGCTTAGTTGGGATGGGTAGGGTTTTGTGTTTTGCTGTTGTTTTTGGTGGTGGCTGTTGTTTTATTTTGTTTCAGCTTTTCCTTTGTGGGGAAAAGATGTTTCTCTTGCAAACAACAGTAGAGTCTCTTCCAGGGGGTGCTTTGGAATACCCAGAATTCTGAGACCAAACATTTTTCTTTCAATGCCCACTGAAAAACTAGTAAATGGGTATCAACTTCAGAAGCTATATTTTAAAGAATATCCTCAGAAATTTAGATTCTTCAAATGGAAGAAAGAAAGAAATCAGGGCAATAATGTTCTTTGAAGTGTCCAATTCTTTGAAAAGTGACCATCTTTGACATGGTCAAATGTGGGTCATTTGGTTTCCACTTTGTTCGCTTGTCAAATTTACACCAAGCAAGATCTCAAAGGATCTCCTGAATTTTTTAGTTCTGTTTTTATTCTTTAATAAAGAAAAGAAAGTGGCTGTCAGTATGGACAAGAAGTATCTCTCTCACTGGCTTCCGATCCTTTCACACAGGACTTCACTGGGTGCTGGGCCCTATGATCTACTGACCTAGGAAAGCTTCCTTACTTTCAGGCCAGGCATCAATATGTGTAAATTGTGCAATCACCACTGAGCAAGAAGAGACAAGGAAAAAAATCCTTGATGGTGGATGTGGCTTTAAAACTTATGCACATGGATTGGGGCTTGAATTTATTAGTTTTTTAGAATTTATTACCCTGGAATCTACTCAATGAGTCTTTATTCTCACAATTTTGGAAATCTTTTATTTCTTAATTTATTGATAGAAAATTGAAAACATTGTATTTAGGATCATATGACTCATTTATTGGATGAGTCTGAAAGAAAATTGGAGTCCCCTGATCCTAAGAAAAGCAGTTATAAATAAAAGTTATATGCATATTTCTTGCAAGTCAACAATCCCATGGTTATCACTCTTAAATTTTTACATTTTCTGGATATTATAAGAAAAATCGGATGAGAGAAGGCTTTTTTTTTTCTCTTATAAGTAGATCCATTAGCATGCCTTCTCTTGATCGCTAAACACCAGTTGATGTACAAGCATTGCATATCCCAGCCCCCTCCACAACCTTTTTCTCCCCCTCCTCATTCTCATTCCAGAAGAATGATCGACTGTCCTGGTTTGTTTCGGACAAGATTGGAACTTTCAGCCCTAGAACCAGGAAAGACCCAGGAAATGAGAACAAATTGGTCACCTTATTCTTAGGTGGTTCTTTCTTTCTTTCTTTCTTTCTTTCTTTTTTTTTGAGATAGAATCTCACTCTGTTGCCCAGGCTGGAGTGCAGTGACATGATCTCATCTCACTGAAACCTCCGCTTCCCAGGTTCAAGCGATTCTTGTGCCCCAGCCTCTCCAGTAGCTGGGACTACAGATGCATGCCACCACACCTGGCTATTTTTTTCTATTTTTAGTAGAGACGGGGTTTCACCATGTTGGCCAGGACGATCTCCATCTCCTGACCTCATGATCTGCCCACCTCAACCTCCCAAAGTGCTAGGATTACAGGCGTGAGCCACTGCCCCTGCCCTCTTTCTTCCATTCCACTTAACTATTCTGTTTTGCTGTCTTGGAACTTGAACCTCTCCAATATGTCCCTGAAACTTTATTCTCTTGATTTCTCTCTTCATCTACTGATTTTATGTAAAATCATATCATACAAACTTGTTTAAGAAGATGTTCTTGACTCTCAGCTAAGTCCTTGGATATTTATCTATTCTGCTTCATTGGTACCCAATTCTCATCAAAGAGTTCTTTACCCATCCATAATAAAATGAGAAAAATGTTCCCAATGGAGTCAGGTTTACATGAAGTTAAATGTATTTGATTTTAAAACTGGCCTTTATTCCAAGAGTATGTTTTTAGCATATTTTTATTGTCAAAATATCCTTTGAAGGTAGGCTATGGAATTAGGCTGTCTGGGTGAAAAATCTAAAACTACCACTTACAGACCATCATTTAACCTCTCCAACTGTGTTTACTTGTCTGTAAAATAGGACTGTAATTGGACATACCAATAGAGTTATATTTGTACCTTACAAATAAGATAATGCATGTAAAGCACTTACCCATTTTCCAGGCACACAGTTTCTATCGACAAATGATAGCACTGTTGTTGAATTATCTCTTCCACCATGATGATGGTCAGATTTATTACCATCATTATTTAATGTTCTTACCTAGCAAAATAAGTCATTGGCAACCTGTGTTGGTCCTAAGCAGTTTTATGTGCTATAATCTTATTCATAAAACCCCAAAGCCTCCGAGCCACAGCTCTTGATGATGGTGTGTCATCTGTGTCTAATTGCCTGACAATAGGCCTCTTACTCTTTTACTCCTTACAGTTCCAACTGGGTTATCGATGTCTTATCACATTATGTAGAGCTGTGCTTTTCAAACTTTAATGTGTGTACAAGTCACCTGGGGATTTTGTTAAAATACAAATTCTGATTGAGTAAGTGTGGGCTGGGCCCTGGGATTCTGTATTTCTGATAAGCCCGCAGGTGATGCCAGTGCTGCTGTTTCAAGGATCCCCCGCTGAGTGGCAAAAACGTAGAACATGCATTTTCAGTTTTTAATACAGGTTTTTGCTATTGCTCAGCCTGGAGTGCAGAGGCACAATCACAGCTCACTGCAGGCTCAGCCGCCCAGGCTTAAGTGATCCTCCCACCTTAGCCTCCCATGTAGCTGAGAACACAGGCATGTGCCACCATGCCTGGCTAATTTTTTAAAATTTTTCTGTAGAGATGGGGTCTTGCCATGTTGCCCAGGCTGGACTTTCTTGATATGTGAATTTCTCTGTACTTTGGTACGCTCTGTAGACTTCTTAGAGAACTGTCTCCTTCAAATCAGGGAACTGGAAGTTCTATTAAAATTTTCCCTGTCTCCAATTTAATTAGTTTTGAAAAATGTAATTCCTTTGGTGCTCTTATTATAGTCTTGTCACTTGTAAGGTTTAAATCATGTGATTGGGGGAAGTGGACGGTAAAATGACTGTTCTCTTGCAACTCTTCCGAGAATAACAATTTGCTTGTAAATATGCTTGCAAAAAAAAATTAATAGTAACCAAATCCACCTCACCTGGAACATTGTGAACTCTGTTGGATAGGCCTGAATGCCCTCATCACTGTTGCTGTGGACGGACCTGCTGATTCAAGTGACTTGGCTGATCTTCCCTATATTGAATTTGGGAAAGGCTTTGATTACAGGACACAGCTCTCTATTGGCATGAGAGATCTTGGGAGCCGGCTGTCAAAGCAGCTGGTAAGTTATTCCGAAAAGACTGGTGAGCTTAAATTTTCAATTATTTTGTATATAGGTTTAATATTCATGCTTTAGAATTTGAACTTACCCTGTATATTTGGGAATGAAGAAAGGTGTTTATGAATTAGTGAACAGCCTAAATAAGAGGGTTTGTCTGGAAGAAATGTAGTATAGTTAAGAGACATCAAAGCATGTTTAATTTATATACTTGGCCAAAAATGAGGAGAAGGGAAGAGGAAAAAGGAGAAAATTTAAACAGCACCCACAATCACGTCCAAATTACAGCCAAAGAACGTAAGTGACAGAATCTGAGATGCAATGAGAACCAGCCATTACCTCCACCTGCCAATTTTCACACCCCTTGCATATCCTAGGCATAACAGCTTTCCACACTGAGTGTAATTCTAGTGTTGAAGATGTGTATTTTTCCTGAGACAAGGCCTATAAATGAAAGCAAATTACATTTGGAGTTAAATTATAGAAAGAGCAATCTGCTCTAAACCTGGACGAAAAGCCTAGTGACGGTAAACCTCACATGTTGTGCTTTATGAGCAATTGAAAGATTTTTAAGGGTTGTGACTCCTTGAGATTTCGTGTGTGTGTGTGTGTGTGTGTGTGTGTTTTGAGACAGTCTCGCTCTATTGTCTAGGCTAAAGTGCAGTGGCATGATCTCGGCTCACTGTAACCTCTGCCTCCCGGGTTCAAGCAATTCTCCCTACCTCAGCCTCCAGAGTAGCTGGGATTACAGGCGCCCACCACCCTGCCCAGCTAATTTTCATGTATTTAGTAGAGATGAGGTTTCACCATGTTGACCAGGCTGGTCTGAAACTCCTGACTTCACCTTATGTTCCATTTTTAAACCTAACGCCTATGTAAGATGCATCTCAATCATATTTGTTTTGAAAACATACAAGAATTCAAACTTGAGTGGTAAAGCATCAGCAAGCTCTATGTGAGTCTACTTTTACTTTAATGAATGGCTAGTAATTTTGTAATTTGCTTATAACTTATAAAATCTTTAATTGGTAAATGAGAACACTTTCCAAGGAAGTGCTGGCTCCTGCTATTTTCCACCTATAAAATATCACTCTTTGAAATCTGTTTGGTAATTCATAGAGGAAGGAAATTATTCTTCAAACTGGTCAGTTTTTGTATATCGTATAAATGGAATACTCTACAAGGAAAAACTTAATCATAGGTCAGTTTAAATGTCAATAGTAATAGATTTGATGCTGTAGAATTTGGGTGATCCAAAGAAAATTGGTGTTATCTAATATGAAATCATCGTATCCATTTTGTTATTGTTTGCTTTCACACATTTGCAGTTTTATTGCTATTTCTGAAATTGTCAGGAAAAAGAATTTCATAGTGTCAGAAAAGGAACATTATATAGTAGGAAACAATCAAATGGAGAAAATTGCTAAATGGCTATGACAAAAGATTTTCATTTTTCATTGCACTAGAAATTTATTGAAAAACTTCACAATATAAAGATTGATTCTACCCTACTAAAGTGAAGTATAGCATTTATTGAAAATATATTTTTTCTAAAAGTAAATCTTATGAGTTAATTGTAAAAACGCAAAGCAGTATATCATCTATTCAGGGGATTACTAGGTATGTCCAGAATGAAATTTATTCGCATTTGAAAATATATGGATTTTTTGACGAGAATATAAAGAGGAATATTCTCCCATGCTCCCATCCCTTAGAGCAAGTGCTTCCAAAATGTTGCACATGTAATTTGGTTTTTGAAATCCTGTCAGAATTGTTCTGGAAGAGTTTCCCATTGGACTTAGTTCCAAGATATGTTACGTTGGGCACTGTCTAAATTCTCTAGCATACCAAAGGTTTCACAAAATGAGGAAAATAGCATGCATTCATTTTATTGAACAAAATACTGGAGGAAGAATTACATAGGGAAATCGACAATATCATGATCAATGCTAGGATGAGGTGAGGTAGGGACAGACAACCACACTAATCAGTTGGCATGCAGACAGTTTGCCACAGCTCAACTGATACCAATTTGAAAACACAAACATTTTTGAGTTGATTTGGAATACCTCAAATGGTGGAGAGTGCAGATCATGTAAAGCACTTACGCATTTTCCAGGCACACAGTTTCTATCAACAAATGATAGCACTGTTGTTGCTGAATTACCTCCTCCACCATGAGGACGATCAGATTTATTACCATCATTATTTAATGTTCTCACCTAGCAAAATACGTCACTGGCAACCCTGTGTTGGTTTTCTTTGCAATAATCGTATTCATAAAACCCCAAAGCCTCTGAGCCACAGCTCTGGATGATGTTGTGTCATCTGTTCCTAATTGCCTGACAATAGGCCTGTTACTCTTTTACTACTTGTAGTTCCAACCAGGTTATCAATGTCATATCAGATCATGTAGAAATGTGCTTTTCAAGCTTCAATGTGTGTACAAATCACACCTGGGGATTTTGTTAAAATACAGATTCTGATTGAGTGTGGGATGGGCCCTGAGATTCTGTATTTCTGGAAAGGAAAGGTTTCTAGGCAGAAAGATGGAAGCAAAAAAAAAAAAGTTTCATGCATTATTTCTAAAGCACAGTCATGTTAATGGTGACCAGGCTTCTGAAACTGTGGTGGAAGTCTGGATCGCATGGTTGAACTTGTATACATGATTTGAGAAGCATTACCACCAAATGTAATGTATTACTTACCCTCTCCCAAGGTCAATGTTGCAGAAAGGACATGCTGCTGTTTGTTTTGCAAGTGCATTGGAGAAGATGGCACAATGGGAGATTCTGGATCACCAGGAAAAAAGGTGATTTTAGTTCAGATTTATGGGTTACTTTGAGTTGTAGTATGCCCTTCAGACATGGGTTTAAGTAGAAATAAGGGGTGATTTTTAACTTCTCAATAGAGCCTCTTAGGTAAGAGTTTATTATACTCCTCTTTTTCTATGTTAAATTAGATAGTCATGGATTTTCCTTGGCATTGTAAATTGGAGTCTTTTAAAAAAGTTTTTGTAAAATTGTCAGGAGCAATTGTTAAGATCCATGATTATCCAGTATTCTAGTACTGATGACAATGACACAGAAAAATCAGCTGTAATTCCTCACATTGAGCAATGAAAGCATCCTTCATGTGACTAAGGCATTTCAGCATTCATTTTATTTAATGATGGCAGAGTCATTGAAATCAAGCAGAAGATATTTTGTGTAGTCTGCTGAAAATGCGGCTAGATCAGATACCTCTCCTATAGCAAAACATGTTAAGATGTCTCATTCAGCTTTAGCCAGGTCGAAATGGTATCACAGATATATTAACAGATGCAGACTCAGTATTTTAAAACAGAAACCAGAAACATTAATTCATATATTTCCTAACCAGAAAAAGTGTTTGTATCCTTATGTAAAAATATGTTGTTTTGAACTTTAAGAACTGTTTAAATACATATAAACACTATGAATATGTTAATGATTTCAATACAGTTTGTTTACGTGTGTGTTTGATTCTTGAATAATTTATAGATGCACTATAACTTCCAAATCACCAGGGCTATGTCTCTGAATAAAATAAAATAATAAATTATATTCTGAATGTTCCCGCTTCATCTAAAGAGAGTGGTAGCTTTTTTTTTTTTTTAAACAGGACTCAGAAAGAATGGAAAGAAAGGTGTGTGGTCTATTTTTCTATGTGTAGCATAAATCCTAAAAGATTTTTTAATAAAGGGAGAATAATTCTAGTTTATCACTGGCAAATATAGCTGTGTTGACTTGAATGTTTATTTTGAAAGAAGCTCGGCAACTATACTTAAATCTAGAGTTACAGTATTACGATTGTCACACACACACACAACCACTTAAGTTATCTGGATACTTGTCTCAAAATTCCATTTCTTTTTATATATGTAAATGCAATCTACATTGGGAAGGAGGGACTATTTTTTAAAGGTATTCATTATACTTTAAGTTCTGGGGTACATGTTCAGATTGTGTGGGTTTGTTACATAAGTACACATGTGCCATAATGGTGGTTTGCTGCATCCATCACCTCGTTATCTACATTAGGTATTTCTCCTAATGCTATCCCTCCCCAATTCCCCACCCCCAGCTATTCCTCCCCTTGCCCCCACCCCAAATGCCCTGGTGTGTGATGTTCCCCTCCCTGTGTCCATGTGTTCTCATTGTTCACCACCCACTTATGAGTGAGAACATGCGGTGTTTGGTTTTCTCTTCTTGTGTCAGTTTGCTGAGAATGATGGTTTCCACTTTCATCCATGTTGGAGGGACTGTTTCTTTCAAACCCTTACTATTGCACGTGAGGTAAAACTGTAAAATTGAATTTGCTTTGGTAACCTCTGATTCTTGGTCCATGGATGCAAATGTTTTCTTCCTTTTCTTATTTCCAGGGACCTCCAGGTTTTAAAGGCAGTGAAGGCTACCTGGGAGAAGAGGGAATTGCTGTAAGTCAAGGCTCTTTTTACCTCCACTTATCCCTAAAAACATATCTACAATATGAACTTCCTTGAGTCAATTCAGAGGGAAGCAAGAAAAGTGAGATTCTAAGGATTCATGTACAGAATCTCAGATCTTGTTTTATCCTCATTGAGCTTTGCTCCTGGTGGTCATTAGTGATTTATTGACCTATCTCTTCTTTGACTACCCACCAACATTGCCCAATGATTCAATGCAGAAGTTACCTTCTTTACTAGGGGAGTTGAATCATTGCTATTTCTCCCATTCCGGAGTATTCTGCAAAAGTAAACCAGCTTACCACGTTGTTTATCAAGGATCCTACTCTTTCTTGTATTTGCCTGTCCTTCAATCCTCCCATCAATCCATCCATCCAAACATTCATTTACCAATTATATATTAAACATCTTACCATTCACTACATTATTTATCAGAGACATTAACATATTCATTCATTTGTTCTTTCAACAAATATAGGTTAAATATCTGATCATGGGCCAGGCACAGTGGTAGGCTTCAGCAATAAGAAAAATAAAAGGAAAAATATGGCTTCTGCCTCCAGGAAACTTGTAAACTAATAGAAAGGCAAATGAGACAACAGTGATTCTTTTTGTTATACCCAAGGGCTAGACTAGAAGTATAGAGACATGCAAAGGATTGTGGCAGAACAACTCACAGTTACCTAACAGCATTGGCTGAATTTGGGGCTTGAGAGGGGAAGGCTGCAAGCAAGGAGTAATGCTTGGGCAGACATTTGAAGGATAAGTAGGAATTTCTGCAGGCAAAGTTTGAGGGAACAGTGTGTTCAAGGACATGTATCTGAGTCAGAGAGGATCATGTTCATAAAATGACATGTGGTCAGCATGGCTGGAACCCAGGCCACTGCAGTAGGAAGGTATATGTGGCAAGCAAGACTCAGGAGTCTTGAATACCCTGCTGAAGATTTGGATTGTGTCTTCTAGTTGATGGGCAGTCACTGAATGGTGGTAAACACAGGGGTCAAAAATACAGGAGTATTTAGAAAGCCTGCTCAAGCAACATTACAGATGATGATAAGGTGAAGGTTACAGGTAGGTCTTGCAGTCATAGGTGCAGGACAGGTCCTAATTTGGGCTTGGGAGAGTATGACTAAGATATGTCAAGGAGATTGGAAGGACATAACGTGGTTGCCACTTGGTGAAAGAGAAGCCTCACGCAGGCAATATGCAAGTGAGATCCAAAGCAAAGGCTGTCTGTTATCAGGGTATCCGTGATTTATTTCCACTCTTAATTTTTATAAGCAAGAACTCTGGATTTTGAACCATGAGCAGTCACACATTTTTTTGGTAACAAACAATTTGTCAAGTTTTCAAGACAGAGCAAAGATTACAATAGAAAAAGCTCATTTGGATTGCGCCCTTTTTCAGGGAGACAGAGGAGCCCCTGGACCAGTGGGAGAGCAGGGTACCAAGGGATGCCATGGCACCAAAGGTCCTAAGGTAAGGATTGCATGAGAACGTGGAGTTTTCTCAGCATTAATTCCATTTTCCTACACTAACTATTGCTGTCCTTTTATTTTCAGGGGAACAGGGGACTAAATGGCCAGGAGGTATGGTACCAGGCACATCCATTTATCTACCCATGTGTTACCTAGAAATATTTTTATTTTTGAGATTATTGATCAGTAAATTATATAAATGACATTGTTGTTGACTTTCCTTTTTTATTGCCAGCCATTTCATTTTGTTTCTGCCTCTCTTTCATGACAGGTAGTATGTATTATTTGTTGATAGTTTCTATTACTGAGTAATCTTTAATATTACCTAGGCCCACCCTAACAAAGAGGCTGTATGTGAAACACAAAAATAGAGTTTTTGTTTGGCATCTGACTTCTTTGCACATGCATGGGATGTACTCTTTCCTCATTCTATCTGTCTTTTCAGGGAGAAGCTGGGGAAAGTGGAATTGATGGATTAAACGGAGAACAGGTAGAGCCTTCTTGTACCATAGAGACCCTTCTGAGCTATTTACAATTATGAAAATGAGAATTCTGTTAAGAACATTCCCTTCTTATTTTTTTAGGGTGATGATGGTCTTCCTGGAAGAAAAGGAGAAAAGGGTGATGAGGGATCCCAGGTAGGGATTTAAAAAGGATGAACATAAAAATTGTAATAGGGATTAAAGGTGTGATTAACAGAGTAGAAGAACTACCCTGGCTATATCAGTCAGCTGTGCAACAAAACTGTTTTGTGACAAACAATCATAAAACCTCAATCACATACGACAATGAACATTTATTTCTTATGTTTTTGAGGGGTTCAGCTGATCAAGGCTGAACATGGCTCATGTCTGTAAGGTGGCCAGGGACTTCCTTCCATATGTCACTTACCCTCCTGCGACCAGGAGCTAGCCTAACCATGCTACCCATGACCTTTTTATGCCCATGGCAGAAGCACAGAAAAGCAAATGGAAACATACTAGAACTCTCAGGCTTCCTTCGGACCGAGGCTCAGAATTCTCTCAACACTTCCTTCTCTCTCTGTTGGCCAAATCAAGGCATATTGCCAAACTCTGAGGAAGGGAATCTCATCCACCACTGTTGGAAGTCATTGCAGTTACATGACAAAGACACAGACATAGGGAGTGGTGAAGAGTTTGGGCCATTAATGACAAGCAGCTACCACAGTAAGAACAGAAGTAGGATGTTGACCAGGGTCAGTGGTGCCAGGCAGCACACTGAAGAGTGTGTATCACTCATTCCCACCTAGAATGAATACCAACAGCAGCCATGTTTTCATCCTTGACTTTGTCTTTAGAGTGTGAAGAATTGAGTCAGAAACAACCATCTTGGGCACACTGCATGTTCTTTTTGAATTCCAGTTGCCTTATAAAAGAAAGATAATAAGGAATACCTGGTTCGTAGAAAATTTGTGCAAAACAACAAGATGACAAGTGCGTCTGGAACACAAAGTTCACCACTGTGGCAAATCATTGAGTTCACTGTTAAATTATTTATATGGCGCTCGAAACTAACTTTTCTGGTTGTTCATCTTTCCAATTTAAAAAGAGCCTTGGTAGAAAAATACTTGATTATTCACACCTGGGAGAAGAAAAGCTGTTTGTATCACTTTTATTAAAACTTCTTGTCTGGTTCTTCTTCTGATTTGTATGAACTTTAGGGAAGCCCAGGGAAGAGAGGGACTCCTGGTGACCGTGGCGCAAAGGGCCTGCGAGGGGATCCCGTAAGTGTTTGGGCTGCGTGGGTTGTGAACTGGAGTTAGGGCTTGATTCCTGTCAGTAGTTCTGATAGGGAGCCTTGATTTCAAGGTAGTACACTAGCAACCCTGAGTTTAAAACATCACAGGCATAATCGTAAAGTTTTAAATTCAGGTACCTGTGCATGATCTTCTTCGTATACTGAATGAGTATGAGCTATGAAAAGCCCTTGCATGTCTTTTGCAAATGCAGTTTTGTAAATACACACTCAGAATTGTTCTTGTGCTTCAAAACGTTGAAGAAATTCCACTCCACTTCATTATCTTCCAAGCACCTCAAAATATGGACAGAATGAGAAAAAGCCATCTCTCCTTTTTTTTTTTTTTTTTTTTTCCTATTCTTATGTTAGTCTGTTCTCATGTTGCTGATAAAGACATACCTGAGTCTGGGTAATTTACAAAGGAAAGAGGTTTAACTGACTCATAGTTCCACATGGCTGGGGTGCCGTCACAGTCATGAAGAAGGGCACAGGGACGTCTTGTGTGGTGGCAAGCAAGAGAGCGTGTGCAGGGGAACTTCCATTTATAAAACCATCAGATCTCATGAGACTTACTCACTGCCACGAGAATAGTATGGGGGAAACCACCCTCATAATTCAATTACTCCACCTAGTCCCACCCTTGACATGTGGGATTATTACAGTTCAAGATGAGATTTGGAAGGAGACACAGCCCAACCATTACAGTTATCCAAGAGTTTTTCTCAATTAAGAATATCAGCCTCATTTTCTATAACCCAAGCTGAGTAGAATTGTATCAGTCAAAACTTATGACATAAAGGCACTGCTCTTGCAGGGGCACAACCCAGTTGAGTAGGCATGACCCATGTTAAAGAAAAAAAGACATACACCAATATGTAGGAAATACGCCAAGTCCGACGGAACATCAGTACTATAGGATTTTCATCACCATACGCACTTAAGTCTCCAAAAGCTTAATGAATTAGGACTTAGTTTTGTTTTTAAATGTTTATTGAACTGTAACATACATCAGAAAAGTCCCTGAATTATAAATACACAGCTTAATGAATGTGAATACACCTGTGTAGTCAGCACAACGTAGAGAAATAGAACACTACCAGCATCCCAGAAGCCCCTCATGCCCATGGCAGCCGCTACTCACCCTCCCCAAGGGAATCACGATCCTATCACTATAAATCAGTTTTACTTGTTCTAGAACTTTATATAAATGGAATTATATAAGTGTCTGCTCTTTTTTTCTGACTTCTTTTGTTTTATGCTTAGAAGATTAATCTATGTTGTATATAACAATAGTTCATTCAGTCTCATGGCTGCATTGCCTAGTATTTCATTGTGTGAATATACCATGATTTATTGATTATAGTAATGCTATGTGAGTTGTTCCCAGTTTTTGCTTTTGTAAATAGTGCTGTTATGAGTATTCTGATATGTCTTTTTATGTACTTTTGTACATGTTTATAAATATGGGGTCTCTATGTTACGAGTAGAATTTCTGGATTATAACGTGTATGGCCATACTCAGATTGTCTTTATAGCTGAATGATTTTCAAAAGTTTGTACTCATTTATATTCTTACTAGCAATGTATGGGAACAGTGTAAGATACTCATCAGAATGGTTACAATTTATAAAAAAAATAATACCAGGTACTGATAAGGATGTGAGACAACGGGGAGTCTCATGAGGATTTTTTTTTTCTTTAAAATATCCTCTTATATACAATAGGTTGGTCACAGAAGGAATTTGATGCAATATATATATGAACATGTAAATGTTAGGCAACAGTATTTAAAAAGCAGAGGAACTGGTGCATGAAGAAAACATTGTTGACTAAGTGATATCTACTGATAATAGTGGCATCCTGAGAATTTTCAGACTTCAAAGAATCTAATTTAGAACCAAAGAACTATGCACAAATAAGCACAATTTAGAAATATTAGTTCAAATACAAAGACATTTCAGTCATCCGTATATGATGACCAAAAATTCATTTGGGATATTGCTATACAACTTCCATTGACTTTGATCAGAATTTCTCCTAAACTGTCTGCTAAAGATCATGTGATTATGTAACATATTTAAAAGAGTCTGAATAATGTAAAGAGCTGTCTATTTTAAAAGAAATATTTTATGACTTCCAATGGTAAAACAACTCTGCTTTTTTTACATATGGCTTCAGTGGATTACTATTTCAGGAAAAAATTGGGATAAGTGTAGTAGAACACACACATGATCCATTTATTCTTAGGAAAGCATGCAAATGGCACAATTTGTTGAAAATCTAAGTTCATTCAGATAGGATTTATGATCACATGGAAGCTCATTTGGCTGTTTGGAATTTTCCACTTGAAGTATTTTTTTAATCCTAAGAAATGTTGGGGGAAAGAGTTAAATCATTTGTGTCATCTACAGAGGCTAGTAAGATTCATTTTGACAACATATCATTATAAGCCCATGTTTAATTGTAAATTTGTGGTAGGTAATGGTTTTTGTCCAGCTGTATACACATAGAAAGACCAAATCGGTTCATATTCACATGGACCAACTGGTCTCTATGCAATTTGGGTTGTTATTTTTGGTAAAATGTGCTAGTATATGATTCTTTTTATGTTATTTCTTCAGGTAGTTTAGAATTGAACCACAATAAGGGGCTTTTATATCCAGAGGAATAAAATTCTGGACTTTACATTACCTCCCTTTTCCTTACTTGCTTTTCCCACCAAAATACAATTTTCTGATGTTGTAATTTAGGTATACCCTGCTTGGAGAATTTAAGAGACAAATATTTAAACTTAAGGGAGAAAAAGAAGATGCAGAAAATGATATTTGGCTTTGGTAGGTGGAGGAAAGGAGCAATTTCTCACGTACATTTTAGTAATATTAGTGTTATAAAGTAAATTCCAAACCCATCTTTTTCACCCCATTAACTTAAAAATTCTGTACATACAAAACCATTTGTTTAAAAAGCTTACTAAGTATCTGAAACAATGACATGTCCCTGCTGGTGACCTCAAATTACTTATTGATTGATGAAGGTAATCTGAGCTGCTATCAGCCCAGCAGCCTCATAGAAGGCACTCAGCAGGACTGGATAATTGTTGTCCTTTCTCAATTTATTGGAGCATTGACTGAATTGACTGGCTCAGTTGATTGTCTCAGCATCATGGAGACACAGCTCTCTTTGTGGTTCGTATGACTCAAGCAAGAAAGACTTCGGTTTGGCCTGTTAAAGATAATAGCCCACAATGTGTACGTGTTTTCAGTCAGTTCCTGGGCATTATTTGCCCGAATATTGGGAAAGATGCAAAACTTCAGGATTTTTTGAAAACCAGAAAAGTAGGGGTGAACATACAGGGGTAGCATTTGGGAGTACCCAGGTGTCCAGGAAGAGAAAGAGGGAGCCTTTCTCTTTCTCAGATAGCATCCTCAGCGTCACTCAGTGTGCTTATTACATTCTCAGGGTGGAACCCATTACAAATGTTTGTCTTTTCCCAAGGGTATGGGAAAATAAAGTCTACCAGCTATTAAGTATAACTTTGCCTAGTCTCCAAGAGAAAAGAGGAAAAGTTAAGAGAAGGGGTGGCAGTAACAAGAGGGAATGGGGCTAAGAGCTACCATGCACATGAGTCACATCACCCTTGCTTGCCTTGGCTGTGCCTTCTATGGAGAGCTCTTTCTCCCCACACACTCACCTTAGGTCTCTATTCTCTCTCTGATCATGTCAAACATGGGAGGAAAAGAAAATACTTGTAAGCCATCTGTAATTTTAACCTATTTCTGCTTTCAAATGGGTTGGACTTGTCAACTTCTTGAGAAATAGCTAAATGTTATAAATAAATTATATGTTTAAGGAGAAATGTTCAAACATACTAATTTTTCTCCTTATTTTCTATTTTTTAGGGAGCTCCTGGAGTTGATAATAGCATAGAAGGACCCGGAGGCTTGAAAGGAGAACGTGGAGGACAAGTAATCATGTGGGCTTGTAAAATGTCGATGCATCAACTGTGAGGCTCAGGTTCTTAGTGGTAGAATATGAAATGCTTAACAAAAAAATTGGAATCGAAGTGGATATACTTGGGTACAGAAAACTACTGTTAGGAGCAAAATGATCTTTTCTCCTGCCTGTATACTACTCTGGGATTTGAGAAATATTCTTGTCTTCCTCCTCTAAATTTGGGTTGACTTGATTCAGCAAGACACATCCTCGAGGTCTTCGTTCGTGAATATAAACATTGGAACTCTAACTTAAAATGCAGGGCTAGCTGATAGAACTGTGCTAGCAAAAGAGTTGTTGGCCTTTCCAGTATCTGGAGGTAACATACCCTAAAAAGACATATTAGTAATACATGATAAGAACAAGATCAGGTCGATAGATGTGGTCCACACAATCAAGAAAAGTTTATTGGGATTAATCTCTTAAGTCTCTGTGGTCATCAAAACCTGTTTTCAGTATTTAAAAATGGTTATCTAAAAAACGTATGTCACTGGATTTTTTAAAATAACATTCCCTTGATGACTACATAGGGAAGAAGTATGATGTAGAGGGAAGAACTTTGCTTTGGAGACAGGCCTAGGGCCTGTCTCATGCTCTGTCACTTACCAACTCTGGGCCTTGGGCTACTTCCGGTAAACCCCAATTTTCTCATCTGCAAAATAGGGTGAAAGCATACTTTAGAAGTTGATGATGGGGACTTAATGATATTTAATTTAATGATATAACCTTCAGTAAATATTATCTGCCGTTATTAGTAAGTGGTAAATGTAAGTCTCATAGGAGACTCATAAATTATTCCATACTTTTGTATCTAGTGATCATCTCAAGTGATCATCTAGTGATCATACAAGCCTCTGTAGTATGAGACTGTATTTACAGTAAGGTAATAATCTCAGTAGCCAAACAGATCAAGCAATTCAAAGGTAGAAATTCAAACCAGTAGTAGCCGTATCTGATACATAGTATGCTTTATCCACACTGTGGCAACAGAGCAGGGATAGTTGGAACACTCTGAGACATGTACCGCAAACAACTTAGACAGTAGTGATGAATAATGAATAGATGAAACCATGTCATTAGCATTTTTCCCTGTAATTCCTCATGACTCACATGGAAACGTGGCTTAGGACCGTGGAGCTCAAGCCATTTTCCAAAGGAAAGGTAACTCTCTCATTGGTGTGTGAACTCATCTGTCCTCCCTGGAGTACAAGTTGATGGTAAAGAGAAACTCTGTCAGTGCTGTGTAATTAACAATACACATCTGTCTATTCCTTTGACAGGGAAGAAGAGGTTGGCCAGGCCCTCCAGGGACACCAGGCTCCAGAAGAAAGACAGTAAGAGCCCTTCTAGACAAGGAGACCCACTACTCTAGTGGCTTATATTGAAAATGGCTGACTGTGGGGAGTAGGTGGGATGGTTCTGCTAGAGCTCGCTATCTTGGGGAAACTAACAGGGTATCTCAAAGACTAGGTCTGACAAAGAACTTGTCAGAAGCTGAGGTAGGAAAATGCTGACGGCAGAGGAGATCACCAGTCAGGAGAAAGAGCCGGGCAAAGAGAAACAAATCAGCAGCTAACTAGGGGAAAAGTGGTCAAAGTGTGGCCTACTAGCTAGGTTGAGATTGCCTGTGTTAGTGTTTTCAATCCAAATTCTATTCTTTTTCTGCCAAATTTTACAACTGTTGAGAAAAGTAAGAATGGCAACTATTAAAAAGTCAAACAGTAGATGCTGGCAAGGCTGTGGAGAAATAGAAACGCTTTTACACTGTTGGAGGGAGTGTAAATTAGTTCGACCGTTGTGGAAGACAGTATGACGATTCCTCAAGGATCTAGAACCAGAAATACCATTTGACCCAGCAATCTGTTACTGGGTATATACCTAAAGGAATACAAATCATCATTCTACTGTAAAGACACATACACACATATGTTTATTGCAGCACTATTTACAATAGCAAAGACCTAGAACCAACCTAAATGCCCATCAGTGATAGACTGGATAAAGAAAACGTGACACATATACACTGTGGAATACTATGCAGCCATAAAAAGGAACGAGATCATGTCCTTTGCAGGGACATGGATGAAGCTGGAAGCCATCATCCCCAGCAAACTCACACAGGAAGAGAAAACCAAACACTGCATGTTCTCACTAAGAAGTGGGATTTGAACAATGAGAACACATGGACGCAGGGAGGGGGAACAACACACACCAGGGCCAGTCAGGGGGTGGAAGGATAGGAGAGGGAGAGCGTTAGGACAAATAGCTAATGCATGCGGGCATAAAACCTAGATGACGGGTCGATAGGTACAGCACACATGGCACACATGCACTTAGGTAACCTACACCTTTTGTACTTGCATCCAGGAGCTTAAAGTAAAATATAAATTACTGAATTTTTTTTTTAAGGGAAAAGAAAAGAAGTCAGTCCTGATATAGGCATATCTGAGTGAAATTGGGTCACTTGCTTATGGAACCCATTGTTGGCGGCATGGTATTGGTTTGTTTTTTATTTTATTGTGTTATTTTTTCATTAAGTACTTAAAAAATTTCTGTGTACAGAAAAGCACAGAGATGTTAAAAATATTCGATAAGAAGAGTTAAGTTTAATAAAATACACTTAGATGCCTACATCAGGGTCTGAATTAGGCCTTCTCATCTCATTTTGCAAGATTTTCTTTCCTTTCTTTATGGAGTTACCCAGCCTTCAATTTCCTCCACCCTCTCCCGAATAGAAAATGTTTTAAAATTAAGCACAAGTAGAAGCTAGTTGAGCATATTGCATTTATTACACATTGTCATTTCTGAGTGGAAGTTTATAGAACCAGCTATTATACTCCATTAAAAAAAAACACTTTTTTTTTTGTCTTGGAGCATACCACTGTTCCTTGCAAGGTAGAGAAAATGAAGAGATTATACTTAAAACATGCAGAATTTGATTGATAGAAAAGTGCTTTACTAATGCAATTTTCATGCATATAAAAAAAAAAGCATTTGCTATTCATTTCACTTTCAAAAAGGGTGTAGTAAGCTTACATACCCCTGGAAAGTATTTTCAACTTACAGACTATCATCCGGGAAATTCTGGCATGTAAGGATGAACTTTTACTCTTTCATAGCCTCCAGAGGCTAATGCAATATTGCTATGCATTATTTAAACCGCACCACTCCCATGAAATATGGCCCCCATCTTAGGTTATAGATTCAGCCACGTCATTCAGGAGTAAAAGTGGGACTTCAGTTAAAATGGCAGAGTAAAGGTGTTTTCACACTATTCCTCTTAAGTGCATCTCACCAAAAACAACAAAAGAAATTAAAAATTGAGAAACAAAGAATGACCACAGCTTCAAGCTGCAAATAATAACAAACACCATCCAACTGTTTTTAAATCTCAACCCTAATGAATAAGAGTTTAGAAAGCTGACACATCAAGTGAGACCTCATGCAGAGATTGGTTTTCTTTAAAACTAACAGTTTTCCTCAGGAGGCTGAGGCAGGAGAATTGCCTGAACTCAGGAGGCGGAGGTTGCGGTGAGCCGAGATCGCGCCATTGCACTCCAGCCTGGGTAACAAGAGCAAAACTCCGTGTTAAAAAAAAAAAAAAAAAAAAAACTTAAAACTAACAAAATCCAGGGACATGGCATATTTTGAGAGAAACAGGAAATGGACACATAGGGGCACAATTCAACAGAGGAGGCAAAATGAATGAGAAACTGGAAAACATTCCGCTTTTATTATGTAGAACTAGCAAACAAGGCCGTGGAGGCTGCGAATAATGAGAGAGGCAACAGTGTCTATCACAACACAGAGAAACTATGACTTAAGGGGCTTCATGTGAGTTCCATGAATCTCTTTAAACGTCAGTAGTCGAAGGAAGATGTAGCTCGAAGGTAAAAGAAATCATTCATTTGATGAGAAAGTGTTTGAGGCAATATATCTAAGTCAAAGCTACCAACCCTGTTCCAGCTACACTTCCCCATAATTTCTTCAGGAAACAAGTGATCCTATTCAAAGTTGGTGAATGGTCAGGAACATTAATAATCTTTATTAGATGATTAATCAGGACCTATGCATAAAGCTGCAAGAGAGAAAGAAAAGCATGGGCAAAGGATAGATACAGGCTCATTCGAAGGGGAATTATTCAAGGAAAAATTTGAATTCTGGCAAATAGTTCTTCAGAGTCTCAAAGAAGTGAAGATAACATTATTGCTCTTAAAGTCTGAAGCACTGACAAGACAATAGAAAGTGAGGACAGCAAGCTGGCAGCGCTTGGGGAGCATTGGAAATAGAAAAACAGTAGAGATGTAAGATGTTAACACCTGACATTTCTATTCTTTTTTGTTCTATTCAAGTAAAATTAGATGTAATTTAATTTAAGAATAGTTGAGTATGATCTCTTTTTAATAAAAAATAGCAGTATTTAGAATTTTATCTGTGAGAATGGGCGAGATGATGTCAGGAGTCATGATTAACAGATGTTAATGATACTTCTAAATGGAGGAGTTGGGGTGATTTTTAAAAATTTTCTATGTTCTCTGCATTTAAATATTTTAAAATCAGCACGTTATCATTCTTATAACAGTAAAGTCATTCTTTGAGAAAGTAGAAAAATCTAGTGTTCACTGCAAAACTTCAAAGTGAAAATTACAATGAGCACAGAGGACTCCTCAGTGCACAAAGGATCCACTAAGCTGGTAAATGACTGGAGCATGGCCGGTGGTAGAAGTGGCCTGCGGGGAAATAAGCAGGAAATCTGACCTTTACTCATTTGAACACCTACAATCCACCCACAACACTACTGAATACTAGAAATAAACTCAACTACAAACTTAAAGAGTCTTTCCTGTTACGGAACTTAGAACCATGTTACAGAGCCTGGTTTCTCAGCCTCAGCACTATTGGCATTTGGGTTAAACAACTGTCCGCTGTAGGAGCTGTCTTGTGCATTGTAGAAGATGCGTATGATGCATCATCATGTTATGGTGATAACATCGTCCCTGGCCTCTGCCCACTAGCTGCCAGTAACACCCCCGATCTGTGACAATGAAAACTGTCTCCAGATATAGTTATCTGGGGAAAGGGAGGTTGATAAATCCTCCTCTTCCTGTTGAGAATCACTTTGGAGAGGGGATGGACCTGTAGAATTAATAAGCTGTTACCAGTGCTATGCTAGCAGACTATAATGAACTTGGGAGAAAGGCAGGAAGGAGGGATAAGGAGGAGGGATCTAGGTTAGAACGCAGTAGTTCTGGGGGAGATGAGGAAGAAGGGGAGGGGTTGACGCTTTCTGAGCCAAACCTGAGAATTAGAAGAGATTCTTGTGCCAAGGTTAATGAGAAGCAACTGTAACCTTAAATTAATGCATAGCTTTCATTCCTAGTTAGTCCAGAGGGCTGTTAGTTATGATTTACCCTTTTCATGCCTCTTGGCACTAGTTTAGAGGCATCCTGAGGTGGTGTCGGACAATCATTCATCATTGTGAATGCTTGCCATTCGGACTCAGTATTAATTTGATGTTTTACCATTCAGAATGTCCTGCTTTTTTCCTGATAATTCTTCTTCCCAAATTAGTCTTGATGGTTCTATATCCAGGAAATTGGGCCCTGTAAACAACCAGAAAGTCAGGCTGGTAGGGGAAGGAAGGACTGAGTACTCTGGGCCATCTTCTCTCAGCTCCCTTTGGGGAGATCCTCTTACCTGTTGTGCCCATTCACAGTCTGTTTAAAGATAAGCCAGGTTGTCTAGATGTGTTATCAGACATCTGCAGTCCTTGGGTAAACCATTAAAGTATTTTGGGATTTCATCTTTCTTATATAAACACTTGAAAATTTTAGGAAAAATTGCAAAATCATCTTCCGTATTTCCTTGGTTTCTCTTTCTCACAACAACCCAATGTATCTCTCCCATGACTTTCATTTGGAGCTTAAATCCCAAGTAACAATTTAACAAAAGTGCTGTGTAATTACTTCTGGAGATGTTTTCATTATTTGTGTGAATGGTGGATTAAAGCCTTTCTCATCCATTAGGCTTAAAAATTCCTAACTAGGATCCGGTGTCAGGTTTTGTTCACCACCACCCAGCCCAGCTCCTGGAAGGGAACAGGAAGTGAAGAAACATGTGTTACAGTAATTCTTTTTCAGCCAGCCCTTTGAAAATCAAACCTTAAAGACAGAGGGAAATAATGTTTATTGATGATGATTGAAACATTGTGACAGCAAGCCAGAGATAGATTTTTTAACATGGAGGTCTGTTCCATTTCCCTTACACATACCAGAAGCTCTTTATTTTGCCTAAATACAAAGTTCCATTCAGTTCCTCTTACCAAAACCAGATGTATCCACCTAAAGCTGGGGTTTGACCATGTACTTTTCCAGCTCCAAAAACCCCAGTGGCTTCTGCTAAATATTGTAGAAACCCTTCAGCCTAGTAACCCTGCTACTTCCCTTTCTTCTCACATTTTTGACACAGATGACCTTGTTGCTGCTACCAAATATACTTCCTATTTTTCTGCCTCTACTTCATTGCTTAGGCTGTACCTCTGCTGGAAAGACTTGATACCTCCTCTGTCTGTAGGACTCCTACCCATCCTCTGAAACACCCTTCTCAAAAATCTCTTCTTCCAGGAAGATTTTCCTGATGTGACCAACTGGATATGATTGCTTTCTTTAAAACCTATATTTCTATCTTTCTCGTTTCTTATGGCATTTGCCATACTCTGCCTTATAAATATTTGTAATATTTATCTCCTCCTCCCAAACCCAAAAAGTGAGGGTTCCCTGAGGTCAGTATTGTGTGTGTGTGTAATCTTTATGCTCCCATGTTTCCCACCTAGTATGCTCTGTGGGTAGTAGATATTTTTCAGATGAAAATATCTACTGGCCGGGCACGGTGGCTCAAGCCTATAATCCCAGCACTTTGGGTGGCCGAGGCAGGTGGATCGCGAGGTCAAGAGATCGAGACCATCTTGGTCAACAAGGTGAAACCCCATCTCTACTAAAAATACAAAAATTAGCCGGGCATGGTGGTGCGTGCCTGTAATCCCAGCTACTTGGGAGGCTGAGGCAGGAGAATTGCTTGAACCCAGGAGGCGGAGATTGTGGTGAGCCGAGATCGTGCCATTGCACTTCAGTCTGGGTAACAACAGCGAAACTCCGTCTCAAAAAAAAGAAAGAAAGAAAATATCTACTGATATTTTTCTGAATAAAAGAAAAGTGAATTGGATCAGAACAGATAAACTCATGTGCTAAAGGAATGGAAACAGTTTATTTTCCTCCCTCTGACAGAAGATTTAGGGTTTCCTCTCAAGATGACTCATCAGTTTTGTGTAAAAAACAAGACAAAACAAAAAAGACAAAAAACTAATAATTTCCCCAAAATACAGTCTGTTTCTTACATAACAGTAGTGCATTTTTTCCATTTTCACACTGCTGAGAAAGACATACCTGAGACTGGGTAATTTATGAAGAAAAAGAGATTTAATGGACTCACAGCTCCATGTGGCTGGGGAGGCTCTGCAATCATGGTAAAAGGTGAAAGGCACGTTTTAAATGGTGGCAGGCAAGAGGGAATGAGAGCCAAGTGAAAGGAGGAACCCCTTATAAAATCGTGAGATCTCATGAGACTTATTCACTACCATGAGAACAGTATGAGGGAAACCACCCCCGTGATCCAGTTATCTCCTACTGGGTCCCTCCCAAAACACATGGGAATTATGGGAGCTACAATTCAAGATGACATTTGTGTGGGGAAATAGCCCAACCACATCAAATAGTTTTGACTGAAATATGATTAGCAGAATTTAAAGTTTGAAATACCAGCCTCTCGGAAAACATTTCAAATTTCAATCAAGACAATGTTGTCTGATTTTACTGAATTTTGCAAATCTTGGGTTTTACTTATACTGTAACATTACTGGATGATCCTAAGTTAGACAACAAAATGTCATTGTCTCTTGATTTCCAGGTCTATGAAATGAAATACTGATCTAGAGTAACTCTAGACGCTACCCTTTCATATGACAGTGGTAGAAAAACCCACTTGATCATGTAACATCATTTTGATTGGATATTTTATTAATATACTAGGTTGAATAACTTTTGAATGCTTGAGATAATTTTATTTTTCTCAGGTAAGCATATTATTTGACTTTTTAAAAATAAAATAAGTTTGGCCATCTTTATATCTGAACTTAATCTATTATAAAGTACATGGAGTCAGTTATCCCAGTTTTTCCTCTGGCCTCCTGCCTTTTGGCTAGGTTACCCCTGATTTCTGGCTTCCTTGGTATAGTGCTTAAGGAAAAATAAAAGAAATACAATTCAAGTAAGTGAATTTGCAGCTTGTGAACACTCTAGTAAAAGTTTAGTAGAGAAAAAATTATTGACCACAGTCTGTTCTCCTAAGTATCTGTAGATTTCAATTGTCTATTTTTCCACTGTCAGTTATTTCAAGAAGATAAATAGCCCTAGGATAGAAATTTAGATTTAGCAATACTTTGCTTTCATGGTACAGTGGGAAGTTGAATGTTGTAAGCACTATGTGGGAATTGTTATGTATGTTGATGCCTTAAGGTGTCCATTATGAATTTAAATCAAATATTAAAAAGCATTTTTTTCTGAATTAATAATATCTACCTTTTTCTATTTTAGGCAGCTAATGGCAGAAGGGGACCTACAGGCCCACAGGTACAATGATTTTTTTTCCTTAACTCCAAATGAAAAATATTACATCCAATCAAGGAGCTGGAATAAAGCCTCTGTAAGGTCTCTAAACTTCCCTTTTTGATGATACTGGTTATGAAATAGAATGTTGGAAAAATCTTAGGTTAGGATTTTAAGAGTTCATATTTTACAATGATGTGGGCACTTTAGTCAAAAACCATAAGAAACTAATGGCCAAAGATGTACTTAGCACAATTATTGTTAAATTTAACTTTGCTTGGATTTTAAGTACAAACTTGAATAACTTAGTAGATGATCCTTGTTTTACATTTTCACTTAACTTTGGAATCTTACTTACAATTACATAAAGCCCCATATAAACCAAAAGAATACAGTAAAACTTTTATACACATTGGATATTCTGAGTATTTTGTTCAAAAAGTTGGCGAAATCAAAAACCATATTCCATTCTCATTGCATATGTTAGTGATACATTATATGTGTGTCATGAACCTACAATATTCATGAAAGAGTGGTTATGACTTACAATTTTATAAAACACACATCCTCAGATTAAAAATACAATGAGGATAAATAATCCACTCTCAGTGCAACACAGCGAGACTCCAGAATGTTAAAGATAAAACGCATCTTAAAAATTACCAGAGAGAAAGTATAGCTTTACTCATGAAAAGAATGGCACATTGGATTGCAGCAACTTCTGTTCAGCAATAATATATGCCAGAAATTAGCAGAGTAATATCCTGAAGGTAGTGTTGAAAAATAAACTTAGAATTTTATACTTAGCCAAACTATGAGTAATGTGAAATAGACACTTTTAGACAAAGAAAGCTTACCATCCAGACATTATCCCTCCCTCCCACATACTTTTTCTTTGTCTGTTTCTGCTTCTATAACAAAATACCTTAAACTGGTAATTTATAAACAACAGGATTTTATTTCTTATAGTTATAGAGGCTGTGAAGTCCAAGATCAAGACATGAGCAGATTCAATATCTAGGGAGGGTTTGCTCTTCACTCCAGAAATGGTGCCTTCTTGCTGCACCAACACATGGCAGAAGGGGCTGCAGCTGACAGCTACCTTGAGCCTCTTTATAAAGGCAAAAATCTCATTCAAGAGGATGGAGCCCTCATGACCTAATCACCTCCTAAAGGCCCCACCTTAATACTATTGCATGAAGGATTAAATTTCAACGTATGAATTTTGAAGGAACGCATGCATTCAGACTACAGCACATTTCAAGTCTAAACTTTAGCAAAAAAGAGAAGCTACCCAGAAAAATGTCGTGATATAAATGAAATAAAATTGGAGACAGAAGGTGTTAAGAAATTTTTTTTCTGATTTCTAAGAAAAGGTATCCATAAGTGACATTTAATCACATCCAACTATATAACAACTGAAATATAAACTTTGGCTATCCTAATAGTTGCCTAAATTATAAACAAATTCTTTACTCTTTTTGTAACTCTCATCTATGACAGAACTTGAGAACAATATGAAGAGAATACCCAACTTTTATTCCCTAGATATGTAATTGATTTGAATATAAACATTAATATGATGATGTAAGATGACTGAAAGTGTTTGAAGAAAATATGGACTTAATTTTGAGTGTTTTTAAGGCCACATTGCTAAGTTAGATATTATACAAATTTTATAGAAAAGGGGTGGGGGGTAGCATTTGTGCATGCATGCATATATATATATATAAAGATGGAAAGGAAATACACTAGCATACTAGCTGTGGTTATCTCTGCTGGATGAGATTATAGTTTTTTTATTTTCTTTGTATCTGCATTTATTTTTCACTTTTCTTTTTTTCTGGCAAAGATCCTGTCCTGACATTGTGACTGAAAAAATTTTTATAAGCTTGCAGGTAAAGGAGACAAAATTCTCAGGAAACAGTGTTAACAGATTGATACTTTCTCACCACAGGGAAGAACGGGGATCCCAGGACCAGATGGACTGGAAGGCTCCCTGGGACTTAAGGGCCCTCAGGTATATATCAAGACCAATCGAGGTGTGAGAACATAAGAATCTGGGAATAGAAAAATCTGAGAACCTGATAGAAACTCCCCTTGCAGAATTACAGATGTTTAAAGTTTACATGGTAAAAAAGTAAACAAGCAACACAGCTTGGACTCAGAAGGCACTTGGTCTGCTCTCAGTTTCATCCCAGTCAAGAAGTGAAAAGTGAATGAGCAGGCTAGGCGGTGGTCATTGTGTATTGGGATCAGAGTAAGTAGGATATTCCAGGGAGAACTTGAGCCAAGGAAAATGTTCAGCCACAAATCTGGGATTTGTGGTTAGGTTAGCACAGTAATAGTGCAGTGTTACATATCTGGGTGCTCATGATGTAGAAAAATTGGCTTTCGTCTTAGGAAAGAATTGCTCGAAAGACAGCTGGAGACATCAGTGGGGTGACCTGCACTGCAACGCTCAGCCCGCCTTTGCCAGCTCACGTCTCCAGGGAGCTACCTCCTGCAGTTTTTCCTTTGCAAGGAACAAGCCATACTTGGCTCCTTGACTGATCACATGAGGGGTCGCATGAGGGGTCACATGAGGAGCCAGAGAGGGCAAAATTTAGCTAAAATATTATGATAAGGGAAAGGAGGTCCTAGCAAATACTGAGATGAAAGAAAGTTCGGACCAGAAAAAAAGTTAGAATTTGTTTTTCCTCTCCAAACTTAGTTTTGAAAGCTTGAGGAATAAGTTTACTCTTTGGCATAGGCAGGACAATCGCCGGCTCTGCTATTTTTCAAAGCTTTAATCCACATAAAGTAACTATTACATGTTGGCAGCTTGTTGCATGGAAGTTGGGCAAAATATCCTTAAACATCAGAAGGGAAAGTTTGTTCACATTTTGCCAAGATTCAGAGCAGTGAACAGTCTTCCCCTTGGACCTTTATCTCTTCCTAGCTTGATGCCTTTTCTCTGTTATTGCTTTCCAGCTGAGGAAAGCTCACTTTCTTTTCACCTTCAAGTGAGAAATAGTGGCCACTGGGGTTGAGGGGAAGCATTTCAGTAGATTGACTAACTCTATTTCATGCTAAGCAAGTAATATTACAGCATCCCTTCTTCCATTTTATAGAAACTTACATTTTTTAATGACAACATTTAAAAGGAGAAGCAAAGACGAAACACAGCAGAAAGGTTTCTCTGCATAATATATGGAAGCCACAGCTTATCGGCAGTATAATATTCCAAAAGCAGAAATAGTCAGATTTCATCTTCCCACATGCCATATCTTGTTTATGACCAGTCTTCACGGAGGTTATTGAATAGAAAACTTATTTAAATGTTCTGGTTTCAGATTTGTATTTGTAAAGAATATTTTTCTCTTTAAAGGAAGAAAAGTAGGGAAATGTAGAAAGCAATATGGAAAAGCTCAATTGTTCAGTATTTTATCCAAGCCCCAGTCAGTTTGACTGCAAATCCTCAATTGCCCCAATTTCAGATTGGACATTCATATTCCTGCACAAATGAGAATGAGCTCCACAGGCCAGGATGGAGGCAAAGGCATGATTGGAGCGCTTTTCCAATTTCTGTCCATGTTACTGACTTAGTATTTCTGCTTTTGATATTCAATTGAATATAATGCTTGATTCTATGTACTCAGGGCTCAAGAGGAGAGGCTGGCGTGAAAGGTGAAAAAGGAGGCGTGGGAAGTAAAGGTCCCCAGGTATGTAATGAGAACGACGATTGCATCTGACTTCGATCTTGGCTTGATACGGATGTCTTCGTGGTTTCCTCCCTGCAGATGGAGTTATTTACCACCCGTGAACCAGGAATGTGTATTAGGTGTGACTTCAGCTCAATGTGGTGGCCGTATCACATCATGGTCCCCATCTTGCAGAGCAGGCTATCACTGTCAGACACAGAGACATAAAATCTAGCCCTCTTTGCCTCAGCTGCTCAGCTTTGTAAATCAGGTGACATCACTCCCCTGATCTCAGTCATCTTGGGGTTTCTCATCCCTACCCCCTCACCCCCAGAATACAGCCTACTTTAATTAAGTCCTTAAACTGGCTACATAGGATAATCTCCTGGACAAATTATAAAACAGTGCACCACCTAGACCGTCCCCAGGACACCTAAATCAGAATTTCTGGCAACGAGACCAGGGTGGTAGTAGTTTTAACTTCTCCCTAGGAGATCCTAATACAGACCTAGGGTTGGGAATGACTGCTCTGCATTAGCACTGCTCCAGCTTCACAGTGCAGAAGAATCCCCTAGAGGGCATTGCGAACTAGAAAACTTGTTACAAGTGTGCATTCTGAGTCAGCAGGTCTAGGGCAGGGCCTGAGATTCTGCACCTCTAAGGAGCTTCCAGATGATGCCGATGCTGCTGGTCCAAACCACATTTTTCATAGAAAGGCCCTACATGACCTGGTCCTCGCCTACCTGCTATCATAGTATGTATTATTTGTTTAGCTGTTTACCTGTCTCTTCTTCTAGATTGCAAGCTCCATAAAGGATAGGACTTTGTCTTATTTACACTCGATCCCTAGAGTTCAGAACATCAGTACCTGGTACACAGTAGAGCTCAATACATATCTGAGACACAGATAAGGCAGTGTTAAGAGAGAAGTTGATAGCAATAAATGCCCACATCAAAAAGTCAGAAAGATCTCAAATTAACAGAATCTCTGTCAATTTGTAATCTCTGTTAATTTGTTTTTGTAATTCTCACTTTAGAGAACCTTCACCTTCTTGGTTAGCTGTATTCCTAGGTATTTTTATTTTTACTTTTTTTGTGGCAATTGTGAATGGGATTGCATTCCTGATTTGGCTCTCGTCTTGTATGTTATCGGTGTATAGGAATGCTACTGATTTTTCTTTATCAATTTTGTATACTGAAACTTTGCTAAAGTTGTTTATCAGATCAAGGAGTTTTTGGGCAGAGACTATTGATTTTTTTAGATATAAAATCTTGTCATCTGAAAACAGGGATGGTTTTACTTCCCGTCTCTCTCTTCATATTTGGATGCCTTATGTTTTTTCTCTTGCCTGGTTGCCCTGGTCAGTACTTCCAGTACTATGTTGAATGAGAGTGCTGATTGAGGCCATCCCTGTATTGTTCTGGTTTTCAAGGGGAACACTTTGAGCTTTTGACCATTCAGCATGATGTTAGCTGTGGGTTATAGATAGCTCTTATTATTTTGAAGTACATTCCCTCAATCCCTAGTTTGTTGAGGGTTTTTAACATGAAGGGATATTGGATTGTATCAAAAGCCTTCTCTCCATTTATTCAGATAATCATGTCATCTTTCTTTTTAGTTCTGTTTACATGATGAATCGCCTTTGTTGATTTGTATGTTGAACCAACCTTGCATCCCAGAGATAAGGCCTACGTGATGGTGGTGAATTAGCTTTTTGATATGCTACTGGATTTGGTTTGCTAGCATTTTGTTGATGATTATTACATTTATGTTCAACAAGAATATCGGCCTGAAGTTTTCTTTTTCCATTGTGTCTGTGCCAGGTTTTAGTATCAGGATGATGCTGGCTTCATAGAATGAGTTAAGGGAAGTCCTTCCACCTCGATTTTTAGGAATGTTTCAGTAGGAATGGCATCAGCTTTTCTTTATACCTCTGGTAGAATTTGGCTTTGAATCTATCTGGTCCTGGCTGTTTTTTTAGTTGCTAGGCTTTTTCTTATTGAGTCAATGTTGGATTTTGTTATTGGTCTGTTCAGGAATTCAATTTCTTTGTGGTTCATTCTTGGGAGGTTGTTTGTGTCCAGGTAGCTCTCTCTTCTAGATCTTCTAGTTGGTGTACATAGAGATATTCTTAGTAATCTCTGAGGGCTTTTTTTTTTCTGTATTTCTGTGGGGTCAGTGGTAATGCCCCCTTTTTTGTTTCTCGTGTGTTTATTTGGATCTTCTCTCTCTTTTTGTGTTAGTCTAGCTAACTAGTCTATCCTATTTTGGCAAAGAACAAATTCCTTGATTTGTTGATCTTCTGTATGGTTTTCTGTATCTCAGTTTCCTTCAGTTCAGCTCTGATTTGGTTATTTCTTGTCTTCTGTTAGTTTTGGGATTGGTTTGCTCTTGGTTCTCTAGTTCCTCTAGTTGTGATGATAGGTTGTTAATTTGAGATCTTTCTAACTTTTTGATGTGGGCATTTATTGCTATAAACTTCCCTCTTAATGCTGCCTCATCTGCGTCCCAGAGATTCCGTTATGTTGTATCTTTGTTCTTACTAGTTTCAGGGACTTTCTTGATGCCTTCCTTAATTTCATTATTTACCTGAAAGTCATTCAGGAGCAGGTTGTTTAATTTCCATGCAATTGTATGGTTTTGGGTGATTTTCTTAGCATTGATTTTTATTTTTATTATACTTTAAGTTCTGGGGTACATGTGTAGAACATGTAGGTTTGTTACATAGGTGTACATGTGTCATATTGGTTTGCTGCATCCATCTATGTTAGGTATTTCTCTTAATACTATCCCTCCCCGGCCGGGCGCGGTGGCTCAAGCCTGTAATCCCAGCACTTTGGGAGGCCGAGGCGGGTGGATCACGAGGTCGAGAGATCGAGACCATCCCGGTCAACAGGGTGAAACCCCGTCTCTACTAAAAATACAAAAAATTAGCTGGGCATGTTGGCGCGTGCCTGTAATCCCAGCTACTCAGGAGGCTGAGGCAGGAGAATTGCCTGAACCCAGGAGGCGGAGGTTGCGGTGAGCCGAGATCACGCCATTGCACTCCAGCCTGGGTAACAAGAGCGAAACTCCGTCTAATTAAAAAAAAAAAAATTACTATCCCTCCCCAATCTTCCCACCCACTGCTATTCCTCCCCTAGTCCCCCCCACCAGCCCCTGGACAGGCCTTGGTATGTGATGTTCCCCTCCCTGTGTCCATGTGTTCTCATTGTTCAACACCCACTTATGAGTGAGAACATGTGGTGTTTGGTTTTCTGTTCTTGTGATGGTTTCTAGCTTCATCCATGTCCCTGATTTTTATTTTTATTTCAGTGTGGTCCAAGAGTGTGGTTGGTATGATTTTGGTTTTTTTGAATTTGCTGAGGACTGTTTTATATCTGATTGTGTGGTCAACTTTGTGGTATATGCTATGTGGCGATGAGCAGAATGAATATTCTGTTGTTTTGCAGTGAAGAGTTCTGTATATGTCTGTTGAGTCAAGTGTTGAGTTCGAGTTCTGAATAACTTAATTTTCTGCCTTGATGATCTAATACTGTCATGACAGTGTTTTAAAGCATGTTAATTATTGCTTGTGAAGATATTTGTTTTCAATTTTGATGAAGGTGCTTCTTCAAAAAAAATTAAAACTTTAAAATGTCATGGTAGAAATAACTTGATGAAAATAACCATTTTGGATTCATATCCTTGAATCAATAAAAGCTTGCTGGTAACACAAATTGAAATTTGTTAAAAAAGGAAATGCCAAGAGAAACATGTCATGTGATTATCTCATCTGTTTATATAAAATATGGAGATGTGAGTGAGTGGAAATCCAAAAGTCTTCGTATTTCTTTTGTTCTAGAATCCAAAGTTGCATCCACATGGCTGTGCAGAGCACGTCTGTGAATGAGTACCCTTTAATCTTACTTTGGCAAGATTGATCGTGGCCATAAATCATTCAGCCTCTTGGCATTGTGAGAGTGAGTCAAAAGGTACCACTTCTCACTAATCTACGTCTTCCATTTTTCTGGCTGAAAAACATGGGTTTTCTTGCTTGCTTGCTTTTCTTGAAATCCCTTTGTCAATACAGTGAAAATGCTGTTTCAAAGATGTGTACAATTTTTTATGTTCAGGACATGGATGAATGGGGTCTCAAAGTTGTTGTGTCCAAAAGAAAGCCACAGAGACAAACACAATTAGGTATACAAGAGAGCGTTATTCTTGACTGGTTCTCTAAATTCCCTGCCATAGGTTTCATATCGTTTTATAATACCCAAGGACCAGCCACCGGAGTGGAATAACTTGAGTGTTTTTTAATTGCAAGATTTGATGTTTTTCTTAGGATATACATTTGGAAAAGATGTGATTTCTATGGACAGTGTTCTGAAGGCTTATTCACTGGCATTCTGTATAAATCAAATGTGTGCTAATCCAGCCACGTATATGACTGTGATACAAAAGAATACAGTCCATGGCACAATGAAAACGAAGAAAGAGCTTTGAAAGGAATGGCATATTCTTCTGTACCTTCCTTCATTCCCTCTTTGGTTTACATTAAGGTCCTATTCTAATTTAATCAATGCCTGAAAAAAAAAAAAAAAAAAGAAAATCAGACAATAAAATACAAATTTCAGTTGAAGCCAAAATTATTTTTTAAATACTTATGCATTCTTACTGAATGAAACACTAGCTGGCTTGTACAATATCAAGAAAGATTGGAGTTGTTAATACAATTTGGAGTGCAGAGTAGAATTTCTCTTTGTCTTTCCAAAGCATAGCGTGGGGGTAAATGACATAGAGTCTGGAGCCAGACTGCCTAGGATTGATTCCTGACTTTGTACCTTACTAGCTGTGTGACCTTGGGGAATTTATGTAACCACTTTGTGCTTCAGTTTTTTACTGTAATATAAGGGTCGTAATAGTAGCTACTTCATTGGATTGTTGTGAAAATTAACAGATTTAATATATGTAGAGGCTTAGAACATTACCTGTAGTCATAAGCTCTATGTGTTTACTATATTGTATCGACATTACCTAA